AGTCAACAAAAGCAGAGCGTCTGTGGCTTGCAGCTGCATGACTGATCAAGAAAAAGAGTAGATAATGTAGGGAGCTTAACTAGGCAGTACGTGCAGTTTGCTACCCTACACATAGATAGGGTGTAAGGAAGTAAAAGAAAGCGATAAATCAAAGTATTCGCAGAAGTAGGTGAAACTTTGCTTGATGTTAAGGAATTATGATAACCAATTGAGTGCCATCAGCGGGCCCATTCGCTACTTAATGCAGAATATATGACACCGACTTTTTCCTGAGCTTACGCTCATTTTTTTTTTCTTTTTGCAATCCGCCTAGTAACAGCACTGCCACCACACCCAATTTTATTCACGCAGATACAGCTATAGTGTGTGTGTGTGCGTGTGTGTGTGTGTGTGCGTGTGTGTGTGTGTGTTCGACACATCTTTATTTAAAGTATAGACTCCTTCCTGGCTTCAGCAAGTTTTGGCGGCAATTCAGAAACGAAAGGCTGAGTCCGGATGTACGAGCGGCCCTTGTAGATGATAGAGAACAACCCGAGGTTCCCTCGTGCTTCCGACTGATAGAACGCGAAAGAGAGCTGGTTACGTATGATTGGTTTAGGAGCGTTGATATCGACGAACTGGAGCCACAAGTACATGACAGGTAATCAGCGCCGACAGAACGCGAGAACTCCATCCACACCTTGTTAACGTTCCTTTTGTTGTGCTTTGCGTGATTTGTTTTCTTACTGCGTTGATGGTCTGCCAAGTGTGCGGATCGAGGAAATTAGATTGTTGTTTGTAGACACATCGATTTTGTGACGCCCCGCACGCTTCTGCGTTTACTTGCCCGTCTTTCAGTAGTCGTTAGGTCGGCCTCATTGGCCAAGCTCTAGGAAAGGTATATGTTGGTTAGGTGGAGGTGATGTTAGCGGCTGTTGTAATTTTCTCGAGTGAAGCAAACAATATTCGACTCGAGTCTCATTTGTGATGCTGACCACAAGATCGATCAGTGGTTGTTTGCAGCTCATGGCTGCTGGGGCGAAGTGCTCCGAAACCATCAATTGTGGTTTGCCAGGGGGTAGGGGAAGGGGGCTTCACATACGAAGCTCCATAGTTAGTTCCGCAAATAAACTTCTAACCATAATTTCTACTTACTTATCTATCTGTCTGTCTGTCGACAGAATATATATATATATGTGTGTGTGTGTGTGCAGAACGTTCCTCAACGCACCTTATAGTTAAATTCTTGACCGAGTAATAGCATTACATCCCACTTTCTTCGCTACGCCGCGCTCGTATATCTCGCGGGCATGCGGCTAATTGGCTGCCAGACTGGTGGCGTGCAGCGCTGTTAAGGCGCGGATAAGAATACCAAGTTCGAAAGAGAGCGAGCGAAAGGTGTGAGGGAAGGCGAGCAGATCACAAATGAAGCCCCGTGTAATGCGAGGCGCTACGTACTGGAGCTGTCCCTCGTCGTGCGCGTCGTTCTCGATCAAGCGCGCCCGGGATTAAGCCCGACGTCCCGTATAAGGCACGGGGCCGACGCGTATAGCGCCAACTCTCTGACAGATATTCCTCCGGGAAGGGCCCGCCACCAGCGCGCTCTGTCGCTGGCGGAATTAACCTAAATGGCTTTGGCGCTGCTCCGGCGATTCCTCCGGCGAGGCAAGGAATTATACCGTCGCGGCTTGCCCGACGCAGGCGCGACGTTGAACACCCCGTATACATACGGCCGCACGTGCGTCAGCGTCTTCCTCGCCGAGTTGATCCTGCTGATACGCTCGTCGCACGTATAAACACCTCGCTCGCTAATGGTGAGCGTTCTCCTTCCCACGCGTCTTGGGCGCGTTCTGTATAAGGACGACAGAGGGCGCCTTATGCGGGGTGACGGAGAATGGGCATGATTAAGAAGTCCGCACTAGAGATCTATCGAACGTTTAAGCAGGAAATTGCCAAGGAAAGGATCTATGATAATACTCGGGGTAGTTCTCTACTGTTTGAGGCCAGAACGGGAGTACTGCGAACCAAGACATATCGGGCCAAATACGAAGGGGTAGACACAGTATGCAGTGCGTGTGGAGAGGAAGAAGAAACTGCTGAACACTTGATAATGTTCTGTAAAGGGCTTCACCCTATAGTTCAGGATGATGGCGCAGAGTTTTTCAAAGCACTGGGGTTTAGGGACCGGGAGGGCAAAATAGACTTTAAGCGGGTACACTTAACTAGAAGGAGGTTATCTCATTGGTGGCTAAAGTCAAGGCACGAGTGAAAATTAAACTCTTCACTGCAAAGTACGAATCCTCAAACTCTTTTTTTAAGGAAAAAAAATAAACATAATTTTTGGTTCATTAGGTATTACGGCTTGGTGGCGCTAGCCACCGCCCGATCTAAAGGGTACAGCCATATCCATCCATCCATCCATCCATCCATCCATCCGGTATGAGGTGCGCGACAAGGGTGGCCGAATGGGAGGCGAGGGAAAAAATTAAATGGCGTGTCGTCGATTCCGCGCAGTGCCGAAAGGCCTGGTGGTTTCGTCAGCTGATCAGAATACACAAAATCAAGACTGCAGAGCAACGTAAAGATTCTGTACCAAGGACGTATTTGAGTGAACGTGTTTCTTTCTGGAGACCAAGTGGAACGCTGCGATGCAAGGCGAGGGCTATGAACCGCGATGAACTGATATATTAGACGCAATTAAAGCTCACTATTGTTTATGTTTTAGTGCGTTTTAAAAGCCACACTGCGCCGGTGTTATCATTGTCTGCAAATTTTAAACGACGGATGATAAATAATCAATATAGTTGAGCGAATGGAATGCGTATGCAGAAAATGTACATCGATAAAAATACGAACAGAAAGGAATCATTTCATTATACCCGCTCAAAGGGATGGCTTTTTTTTATTACGCTCGTAGCGGTGTTTACTGCGCGGAATCTTTACGAAAAAACTCTTTGCGTACAACGGGCGAGTATTGATGATTTTCTGTGGAATGAACAGCTGGCTCTCGGGGATTGGCAGATTTCGCCACACTGCACGAAACTTAAGGGGACTAGTGTACGGCTAATGCGACGGGGCCAGAAAGGCGTCTAAGCAGGCCTTCTCTCTCACTGTTCTTAGCTTGTCTGTAACGTTCTCGTTTATTTTTGTCTACCGTGGCATCCAAAGTTTCAGACGAATTTTTTGGGAGGCGCACACATTAAGCCTGTGGCGCGCCAGGGCACTTTGAAACTCGGTAATTGATTTATAAATAGCGCGTCGTGCTTTTAGTGTCGCGCGCGCTGGCGGCGCCGGTGTCATTTATGGAACAGGTGAAACTCGCGAAGTACGCAGAGAAGAAGGCGCACTGAAACAAGCGACGTCAGAGTGCCATTAGGTGACGAAAGCTCGAAGGCGGCTTTGTACAGGTGGGAGACGAAACTCCTGTGACGAGCAGTGTGGTGGTATGCAGAGCGCCGGCGGTGGCGAAAGGAGGGAATACGAAGCGCTAATTATCGCGACAGGATCTTTGAAAGCCCGTGGCTTGCTGGAAATTCTGTCCAGCCTGTTGGCCGCAAGCTTGCAAAGTCGTTGTCATTTGAAAGAAGCGCTCGAGTGTTCGGGCAATGTTATCGGTCGGACGTGATTTTAGCGCCCACGTGACATTGGAAGAAGGAGCTGACAGCGTGAAAGGAATTCGTACGCAGAGAGGAAGACGACGGTTCTAACCCCCGTATTCTAGAACCTCCCTTCACTCAACGCTTCGCCTTCACTTGAAAAAGCCGATAGGAGCGCCATCTCTAAGTACGGCAAGTCACTGCATATCAGCGATAGTCTGCTGCGATTCTACAGTAGCGCAGCGTCAGTTTTAGCCGAGTGATGGCGCAGTGCTCAACTCTGTCAAGTGAAGGGTGAAAGTCGAGTCGAGGAGCGTTTGTGAATACGGCGGTAAGTATACAGTTCACGACGCATGCGCTTGATGTCGTTGTTAGAATGCGCCCTCTGTCGCATTAGTTCTGCGCCGCGTCCGTGTCCGGTCTAATTGAAGACGAACGGGTTACTCTCACGCCATCCTATACACGCCACTTAAGCGCGTCGGACTCTGGATCCTCCTTTGGACAGTTAACTCGCCTGTTTTATCGTAAGTGGTCTGAACAGCATGTCACGTTCAATTCATTTGTGTCTTTTTCTTTTTCTTTGTGCTACAGGTCTGCGAGAACTCGTGGCTCGTGCTTCTGTCGAAATATTAGATTATCTCCTGAAGATGTAAAGAAGGCAGCTTGCACATTTAGTACAAAGTGACCGGTTGGAACTCGTCTTGAGAGAAACTTGTCCCACGTTGTAATTCACTTTCCAGCGCATCCGCGTACGCGGATGTCTGTCTTTATCTCCTTTTGAAAAAAAAACCGCTCTTTTTTTTTTTGACAAACGTTGGCTAGCATGGCCTTATGGTGGCTTACAGAGTTCTCAATACGATGGTAACTGTTGTCTATCTATTGTTATAACGTGAACTGTGCTGCTGATCCGCTACGCCAAGTTCTAAAACGAAACTGCGCCCTTCGCTGTCATCTGCCCAACGCGAAGCATCGTCTCAAGACATTGGGAAGCCACAGCATCACGATGTTGCAAGGTCTTCGCTTGAGCGGAACTGAGTGCAGCAGCTGGTCGCACGCCATTGCCTTTCACGGCTAGGACTATGTTACCGAACTATGTAACCGAAATATGTAACTGAAAAATAATCCGATTATTGTAACAGCTTTACCAAAGTAACCAAAAGTTTGATTGCAAGTTCTGTCGTTATACGCCAGGATCGAGGGTGCGCTTCGACTTCGTCGAGCGTTGCCGTCCAGGCCTGAACATCAGCGTTGTCTTGCGTTAAAATCAACCCACCGATTCCGTCGCCCCGCGAACACTCATAGACGTCAACCTGAATTGCCTTTAACTGAATTCTTGTGAATCATGTAAGTGTTCTTTTTTCTCACGATGTGATACAAGCTCACTGACTGTGAACTGTGTCGCATTTTTTTTTCTTTTCTTTTCAGTGCATCTACGGATGCTATGTTCACTCAGCGATTCTGCCAACCTTTCACCGCCGCTGCTACTGGCTCCTTCAGGTAGGTGTCCCCTCTCTTGCAGTACAGGCTGTACAATGAGACGATTCAGGCGCTAAAGTTTCAGCGGCCCAATTCAAACTTGGTTCCAAAATCCAGTTCACGCCTCTGTAACTGTCAATACTACCGTGGCATCTGTATTCTCTGTCAGGTATTGTTTAAACGGACACTCAAGTGAAATAACAATTTATGTCAGAGTAAAAGTTAATTGTATGACACCGTCCAAAACGGTAATATTATCAACAGCAGTGCCTTACTTTCTGAAAAATTAAGGTAAATGCACGAAAACACGTGCGCTACGATAGGAAATTCACAAAATTATCCCGGCTATGTCAGAGATACTACCTACCACGTTAGAGAGCTGCAGGTTGTCGAAATTTCCGCAGGCCTCCACTACGGTGTCTCTCATAATCATATGGTGGTTTTGGGTTGTTAAACCCCATTTATCAATCATCAATAAGAGTTAACGCCTACAATTAATCACCAGTAATCAAGCTAGCTGCACTAAATAAAGAACCTTCCGTGCATTGAGACGTAATTAAATGCTGCTTTTTCGTGTCTGTTTCATTAATGGAAAAAAAAAAGTACCGCCTGACTTTAGTATGTGGATTGGCGCGAGTGGTTCAAAAGTTCAATTTTCGCCTGGTTAAAGTGGACAGGTCGTGCCAATTGAACCAGTCACGTCTGCCATCTCGCAGGCCATGGCAGGAAATTGTTCAATGTCCTCAATGTCCATTGTTGCTGCTGTGGCTCCCGCTACTTTCGTTTTGCTGCTACTAGTGCCGGCGGCTGCGCAGTAAAGCCGAGCAACGTTGTGCATGGCAACAGTGACGTGACATGTTCCGCTTGAGGCGGGTAATTTGAAGTAGCGCTAACCCGACGCGGAACACTAAAACGTGATTTTCATTTCAAAATAGGCACTTCCTTGGCACAAGAGTAACACTACAAGGTTTCTGGACCGCTATTTCACCAATCAACGTCGACTTAATAGTTGCCTTTAATGTCCCTTTAGGTTGCATGCTTTATTGATTATATGGCAGAAAGGTGCAGACGGCAGGGCGTTTGAAAAGACGAAGCAATTTTCTATTGCCTATTGGCAACGCAACTGTATTTTTCTCCTCTTTTCAGCATTGTGCTGAAAAGGGGAGAAAAAAAAAGAGGAGGAGAATTCCCAGCATTGTGCTGAAAAGAGGAGAATGCGCTTCTGTAAACTAATGTGAAGAGCACACTGAAGGCATTACGGAGCTTGTTGTACGTGTTTTGTGTCCGTCCTGGTACTTATGTGCACTCTTGTATCACAAAGTTACATCGACTGGTCTGGAGCCTTTATTTTAGGAAGGTGCTTTTTTTACGCAGTTCGATTGCGAAACCAAGGTGACGCGGGTATACGCGTTGCGTGAATAGACCAAAGTGTTAGCGCGACGTAGCTTTTAGCGCACACAGACGCTGTGAGGAGAAGCGCTGTGTCCTTTCTATTCACCTTTTCGTAAACGCCTCCCGGGGCGCCGCCATAGCCCTCCTTGGGCTGAGCAAATTGGCGCGTCCCCTCGAAAATGCACTGACAACGCTGCGCCCTTAGCCTTTGTACTCCCGCGCACAGCCCATCATGGCGGTGTTTTTTTTCCTTCCTGTGAAAAGGTGTATATCCTGGCATTTCCGTGCGCTAAAGGCTACGTCATGTCGTACCAACGCGTCCGAAACGCTGCATCTGCGCTACCTTATTTTGGTGACTTAGCGCATTTGCTTTACATAATTTTTTTTGAACAGTCCGTAGATATCGTGGGGTTGCGGATAGCACTTAAAAAAAAAAGTAAACGGCAACGCTCTCGTCAACCCCAGTCTACCGATTTAGCTGTCTACTAACTCATAAAATTTTCTGTAGAGCGGGCTAAATTATTCCTTGTTAATTACTGATTTATCGGTAGTCATAGTATATATATAGTCATCGTCGTGTTATTGCGTACATTCTTGGGCGGGGTGGGGGGAGAGAAGGGAGTTCTTTGATTTTTCTTTTTTTTTTGCAAGTCTTGTCGTGAATTTTTTCGGAGAATATATTTTTTTTATTTCAGGGAGTCGTGCGATATAAAAGAGGTTAACGTGTGCCCAAAAATTTGTAGTGGGCCAGCACTCGTCAAAATAAATAACACATTCGACTTTATCTTATAGAATATATATTGTTTATCGTGCATAATAAACTGCATTCTCGCCGTTAGTTTATTTCGTGGTAATCGGCCAGTGATTACCGATTTTACCTCTTGTACTTCGTCGCCGTAACGTCAAATGTACGAACGTAAAAGCATTCACGTCTCAGTATCGATTACCTCGCGATAGATCAAAACGCCGCCGCATTCGCCCCGACGAATTAGACCCTTCGCATCCGCTTTCAACGAGCTGCGTGCGAGGATGTGTTTGTTCTAGAAGTTTCCCTTGCCTTGCGCGCTGATCATCGGAGCTCGCCGGCATGATCAAACATCTCTCTCAGCAACAGAGCGCGTTCATTTGCCCCCCTTTTTTCGTATCGTGTTCGCCCTCGCGCAGCGTGTGTCTGCATATACGCAGCCTCCAGATGCATATACGCAGCCGCCTGCTCGCGTACACAAAATCCGAAAGATGTTCGCGCCGCCGCGCCTATTAGTCTTCATTTTCCCTGCGGCCGCGCCCGTAGTGGCTTTGCCTCCTGAAAGCGAGCGCCAAAGGGGTGAGCGTTCTTCGAACTTATGGCCGGAAGGCTGGAACTTGCGGAGAAATATATATCCCTCAACGGCCTTTCGTTACTTCGGTTCGTCCTTTTTGTGTTTGCGCGTAGATGCCGCAAATGCGCCAGCGCAGTATAGCTCTGTTCAGCTGTGGCATCTAACGACCCGCAGGTCGAGAGTATAGTCGGCCCGCGCCCCGCAGTATACTTCACGTAGCGCGTTCCCGCTGCAGCTTGCGCCGTAGGCGAGTCGCACGCGCTACGCGATGAACTTGATCCGCTGTTGTTGGACATCGGAGCTAACGAAGACGGATGAAACGCGAAGAGGAGCAGCTCGCCGTCCGGCTTGATGAATATTCTTCGTGCGCTCCGGACGCTCGTTTGCAAGCGGTCTTCTGGCTTTTCCCGCACTGCTCTTGTAACGTCGGCTCCTCCGCAGTGCTCTTGCTCTTCGCGCAGTTGCAGAGGGAAAAAAAAGACGCGGCCAGATCTTCGTTTTCGGTCTTCCTGTTGTAGCTGTTTTTATTTAACGAGTTTTTTTTTTTTTTTTTGCATTGTACCAGCCTTTCCCCCCGAGTGCCGCATACATGCAGCGCGAGCTATCATCTGGGTCTCTCATTAGGCGAATTGTACGGATCGTACCGAGGCGAAGTTCGTGCACGGCGATAGCGTTTTCGCTGGACTTTTTTTTTTCTTTTCGCTTCCCTGCTTTCTGCATTGGACGGTGCACATTAGAGCGGACAATGTGTAGGGTATCTCCTATGATTGTTCCTTTTTTTTTTCCTGCGCAGTTCATTATCATATATGCTGCGTATGGCGCAGGGGATATCTGCATATAAGAAAGAAAGAAAGAAAGAAAGAAAGAAAGAAAGAAAGAAAGAAAGAAAGAAAGAAAGAAAGAAAGAAAGAAAGAGAAAAAAACGATCTCCCACTGAGGAATAAAGTTCGTCGTTCTCTTTCTTCATTTCTTTTTGAGCCGGAAAAGAGAACGGTCTCGTTATTGTCTGTGCGTGAAGCACGAAAAACATTCCTGATGAGCGCGAAGCTTTTGCCCGGATGATTGAAACTGAAATGCAAAGGCGCTGTGCACTTGCGTTCTGAACACCGCTTCAAACGAAAACGCCACCGATTCCGCATATCGGCGTTGTGCGTATAGCTTCGCCCATTAGCCGGCTTGGAGCAGATCGCTTATCTTAATGTGCCAAAAGTTAGCTAATGGTGCGACTCACTAATTGTGTTCCTCATTCTGTATTCCCTTTACTTCTTTTGTTTTGTGCGTCGCAAATGGATAGTGATTGCTGTTCTTGATAACGTTCTAAACATCATTAGAAACATGTTTATGCACGCAGGTACTATAGTGGTGGAACATATGCTATTTTGTTCTAATTCACTGCGATGACGACATTATAGACATGCTTATATCTCCTCCTTTTTCTACTGCCATTTTCGCATTATGAATACCCGCTTTCAACTAGTTTTTTTTTTACTAATATTTTCGGGCTGTGATATTCTAGTTAGTTGACCGCTTGGCTGTGTATATTCGTGTCTTAATGTTAGCGCGCGCTGTGTGAGCAGCATCTCACTTTTGTTCCTTTTGGTCGGTTGCATTTTTACGCAGTGGCAGACATTTCCTTTTCGTTATTGTTTCATCTACATCCTACTAGCAAGAATGTCCATTATCTCTACGAGTGGTTGCAAGTGGCTCGCGCTAACACAAAACGCCAATGGCTCGTCAATAATTTGACGCGTTGCAGGAAACGCGTTGCGTATAATTAGATGGTGATTGCGTATGTGCACTGAAGGTGAGAGAGTATTTCATGAAAGGATTGTTGCTGGTGCGACTGATGGCGTAGGCGTCCTCGCAGAACCCAGACATCGTGCTGGTACACTACTTGAACGTGCCGTACAGCGACGACAACAAGATGGTGATCGCGCCCACGCTGAGCTACTGCGCGGATAAGAAGGAGTGGACCAAAGACGAGCTCGTCTCGCAACTCAAGCCCATGTGTGAGTCACTCTTATTTTCAATAACCGTACTACAGTGTGTGCGGAAGGGTATACTGCTTTGTGATGCAGCTTGCGAGATGGTTATGGCGCCAAGAGTGAGCATCGTGATGTATGGTTGACGTTGTTGCCTCGTTTGTGTCGCTTTTATAGACGTGTTATCAATGGTATAACTGCATCGCGTATAGGTTTACGTCACTTGCATGTATGGTCCTGTTGTCCTGCTAACGGCGGCGTTGTTACCTGACGTTTATTTTGCCTCTTTCTTTACCCGCCACGGTGGTATAGTGGTTACGGTGTTTCACTGCTGGCCCGAAGGTCGCAGGATCGAATCCCGACCACAGCGACCGCATAACGATGGAGACGAAATGTTTGAGAACCGTGTGCCTATATTCAGGTGCGCGTCGAAGAACACCAGGTAGTCGAAGAACACCGGAAAGTCGAGCCTTTCACTACGGCGTCTCTCACAATCGTTTATAGTTTTTGGGGGCGTAAAAACTCGGCAATTATTTTCCTTTTACCGTTTTGTCTAAAAAAGAGAAAGTATACTTATGAGAGTCGAGCCCGTATTGTTTATGATATTCTACGTCGTTTTCGCGCTAAGGCGTTTCAGTCTCCCTTGTTTACTAATATAAAGCATCTTCGGCACTAACTGTTTGTCTTTAACGAGGTCTTGAACCAATTTTCCAAGTTATCACGCAACGACCGCAGTATTAAAGTTTATAAATTCGCGAATCCATTGCCGGAATAATTTCTCGAATCCCCCAATAACGAGCGGAGTTTCAAGGACTTCTTGCGTGTTTTGAACTCTTTCTCTTTTCTCTCGTCCCGACCTAGGTGGATTAAAGAAAATTGCTGGAGTTGATGATGATGAAAAACATTTATTACAAAAGAGAGAGGTACGGGGCCAAAGCATGACCCTGCTACATGGTCGGCGTCCTTAGTCCGGGACACCGCATGACGAGGCCCCTACTCGCGCCCGTCTCACCAGAGCCCGTTGAGACTCTAGTGATGAGCAGTTGAGGAGGGCAGTCTCCCATGCCTCTCGGGAAGGGGTAAGGGAAGGGGGTAGGTGGGGATTTTTCGTACATGCCCATACCATGTGGAAGATATCACACGTCTCCCCACAGTGTGGGCACCGCCCATCTGTGTTCGCATCGATCCCGACCAAGGTGGATTAAAGAAAAATTGCTGGAGTGGGCAGTCAGCAATGCCCTTGCCAGCAGAAGTGAAGCCATCTTTTGCCAATGCCAAGATGGCGGAAACATGCTCTTTTCTGATGGTGCCCACTTAAATATCAAGTGGCTTTGATATGTTATGTAAATGCAACGTTAGTTCTATGTTAAAAGATAGTTGTTCCCCACGAAATAACACACAGAAACGAGTACAGATGACTGAATCTTCAAAGAAGTTTGCCTCCAATTAGAGGCTCACTAAGGAAAACTAGTAACTGTAACACGCACTTGGAGCACTATATATGCGACCGGAAAAAGTTCCCACATTAAACTTGTTGGGCGTGCGAGGGAAACGCTTCGTTTTTTATTTGCTGAACGGTGATAGTTTATCATGCCCCTAGTAAGATGGCCACCACAGCCGCCATCTTGCCAGTGGAACGGCTTCACTCCTGGGCAGTCATTTCCACTCCAGCAATTTTTTTTTTAATCCTTCTTGGTCCCGACGAACTCGCTGGAACATACCCAGGGATCGACGTCACGGGGGAATTGACGCACGTCTGTGCACGTGGTGGAACTCGATCGTTCTCTACCGTCATGATTCCTCCGTGCGCTAGTGTGCCTATCGCGTAATGCTTTCAGGCAGTGGAGCGTGACGCTGGCACGTTGCGGCACATCACGAGAATATATAGACTCATCTTGTCCGAACGCCGTTCTTGATTTACGTTGGCTATTGGCCAATAGCATTCTATCTGCCGTGTGATGACGAGCAGCAGGCGCTGGTCCGGTAGCTCCCACTATAGAGTGAGCTCATGCATCTGTATGAAAAGAAGGCGCCTCAGAAAATGGGGACTTCGTGCTCGGCTCTTAAACTCCCCTTGCTGCGCAACACTGCAAGATTCGACTGAGGTGTTCATAGCAATGTCTGCTATCCGCTGGCTTTTTTTCGCCGAGATGGAGGGGTGGTTTATGACGCTTTTAACACTGATAGTGCACATTGGTAAGGCCGCGTTGGACAATTAAAAGGCTAGAAGTATTCGCCTTAAATGAAGTTATTTATCTGATATTTCGTTAAGCAGATTGCACGTTATTTCAAGGCATTCCATATTCTATCGCAACAACAAAAATTAATGTCATATATATGTTCATTTATGTATTGTAATGCAATATATTTTTATTCCGTAGTCATACCTGCTCTGTTTTTGCTTAAATAGAATGAAATCTCGGGCTACAAAATAAACTGCAAATTATTTCACAGTTATCTCAATGTTTAGCAAAGAAGAATTGTACTTTTGGCGTGGAAACCGCACGTCGAACATGGTAGTGCCTTCAGCAATGTGATGTATACTGTGCAGCAGTACGCTGCAATGTGAAGTTAAATAAAGACAAATTCTTTAAAAGGGTGTTCAATTCATCACATCTAAATCCTGGTGTATATCTCTCTGTTTTGGGCACCAATTGATTCAACTAGCAAAAACAAGCACTGTATTCAATTTTGCATACAGCCAGCGTCTTAAAGGATTAAGTACCTGTACGAACGTCTCCCCCCACCCCCCATTTTTTTTCTCTTTCTCTTCCCTTTCTCTGTCCCGCAGTTTACAGCGAAAACGAGCCGGACCTCAACAATGAGCTGGAGGTGTCGGTGAGTATCCCGTTAGTTCTTACACCACGATGCTACTGAGTATTGCGTAAATTTCGTATAGAGTGCCTCAGGTATGCCATATGCTGGGACATTTATGTCATTCTACATTTAACTCATTTTAACTCATTGTAACTCTACGCGTCTTTGTGTCCCCATTCCGCACATATATCCTAACAAGTGGAAATTTATGAACGCGCTTGCGTGGCACAATCAACGAAATGTGTACGTGTTTCTTGCAGTTCATTGGCAAGCTCACAATTCACCAATCTGACCGTTTATTGACGACTCTATTCACGTTCCTCCTTCTAAAGAACTGAGATGCGAAAGAATAAGGCGCATTAGTAGCAACGCTGTTTTAATTTGTGTGCTTATTATATTCAAACGTATGTACCGTAGAGCCGCTGTCTCGCTCGCACGTGCCTTGATTAACGTGTCAGCTTTACGCGAAAAATCTTTGGAGCGCCGTAAGAGCCAATCTGTGGTCAAACGTTTCTAGCCAGTTTTAGACTCTTACCTATTCATTGACCAAACACAAGGAACGTACATGTTGTCCGTGGACGCGTTATCTGTTTTTGCGCGAAATAAGCAACTGTACGATTCCAGTGAAGATCTCGCTTTCTTTGTGATCAACTCTCCTCGTGAGCTGTTGCGTCTCATTTGTTTGTTTCGGCGAAGCGCATGCGTTGATCTTCCGTCGGTGCTCTCGCAGACGGCCGAGACGGTGGAGGCCATAGTGCAGCAGCTCATGGAGAAGCAGCGGGCTAAAAGCAGCGCTGGTAGCGGCGGGAACGCGGGCGGCGGCGGTAGCGGCGCGCGCACGCACGAATGCCCTTGCGACTCGACGACCAAGACGTCGCTGTCGCCCGCCTCGACGCCCACGCCGCCGCCGGCGCCCGCGCCGCAGCAGGCCTTCTCGGCCGCCTCGTCGTCGACGCCCTCGCCAGCCGCCGCCTGGCACGACTGCGACCGCCGACGTCGGGAGTGGCGGCGGCGCTAGCAGCGGCAACGCGTCCAAAAAGTGCGGCCACAGCCTGCACCGCATCATCTCTCCGAAGACGCGCTGTGCCGCGGCCACGTCGTCGACGCCCGTGCCGCAGCCGCCGCCACATTCGTCCTCGTCCGTGGCGACGGCCGCCGGCGGCCCCCTGGTGACGTTGGGCCACAAGGAGGGCCGCGCCGCCGCCGCGGCAGCCGCTGCGTCCGGCGGCGCCGCGAGCGGCGGCAGCGTCATCCTTGCGGCGCCCGTGCGGGAGGCCGCGGGAGCGCCCGCCGCAACCGCCACCACAACCACCTCCTTCATCCTCAACCTGTCGCAGCTGCAGGGAGGCGGCGGCTTGCTCATCCTCAACAGTGCGGCCGCGGCCACGGGCTTGACGTCCGCTTCCGTGACGCCCGTCACGCTCTTGTGCAACGCCGGCGGCACGACGGCGGCAGCCGCCGCGGCTTCCTCCTCTTCCTCGACGGAAGGCGTCTGCAAGGAGCCCGTCGCCGAAGCGCCGTCATCCACGGGTGGAGCGGCGTCCAGCGCAGCGGCCTCGTCGACAACCCCATGTTCGGTCTCTTCTTCGAGCAGCAGCAGCTCCGAAGCGGCGGCTGCGATCACCACGACGCGCACAGAAGTGAAGGTGGAAGAACCGTGCCGCGTTCTCGGCGAAGAAATGGAATTCGGCGGTGACCCGGAGCTGTGCAGCAGCAGTCTCATGGGCGAGGACTCGAAGGAGCCTGCGGCGTCGGCCACCGAGGGCCGCGGGCTGTTCGACGACTCCCTCGACCTGAGCCACGACGGCATTCAGAAGACGTTGACTGCCAACCTGGCCGCCTCCTCGCACAATAGGAGGCCCTCGTCGGACTCGTCGTCGGGTGGCGGGGTTCTCGTGAAGAGTGAGAACGGGCCCACCGACGCAGACACTGTCGACCTGAATCCTATGGACTTCATCGACAACGACATCTCCACCCCCGACGAAGAGGTGCGTGGCATCTGCGCACGCTCACCGCGTCGAGCCGCCGTGCATTGTGGGATTGCGTCGTAATGAAAGGGTCACGATGTTACCTTCATAAGTTCAGAACTTAAGTGAAAATGTATCTGAACTAAGCTTCACGGTGGCTCATTGAAATACGGATACATTTAGGCATCGATTTATGTTTCATTCATTGCTAGTTCTCGTAAACCGCTTTAGGTAGTAACGAAAAAAATGAGCGTAGCTGTGTTCATATTTCAGCATGCCTGAAAAAGCTGTCAATGGCCGAACGAACACAAAGGTTGTCTACAACGCCTCTAAGCAGCCCTCAATTCCTTTCATTGCTCCCTGTCATTTCGACCTCCTCCGTTTTCGGAACTCTCCTGGTTGCGCGTTTCTACAAAAAAAAAATTTATTGTTTGTCATAATCCAGTTTCTAATATACTTGAGATCTCTGCAGTATAGTTGAAGTTGCTTTCACAGCGGAGCTCTTTGTGCCCGTCTTATTTCCGTATAACGTTCGCAAAGACTATCACCATCATCATGCTGGCGCGTGCTCTTTTTGTCCTCTTCAGCTTCTGCTTGGCTCCCTGAACGCGTGCGCCGAGCGCGTGTTCACAAAAGAGAGATGGAAAACAATAGAGAGAGAAAAGAGATCAAGACAGAAAGAAAAAGAAACAAAAGAAGGGAAAAAAGACATTGAGGGGTAGAGCTAGAAAGGAGGAAAAAGGAAAAGGGGAACGTGACGTGAAATTACGTGATATTTGTCGCGTGACACGTTACCACCTGAATCAAATCACGTAACACTAGCACCGTTATCGTAACACCGTCGAATGTACCACGTGACGTGAAACATTAACTGCTACTCACGTAACATGTTCCCGCCTAAATCACACCTAGCCACCTGACGTAAAATCACGTTACGTTAGTCACATAATGTCTCCTGAGATATATCGCGTAACTTTAATCACGTGGCGTAAAACCGCGTAATGCGAGTCACGTGATATGTCCCCGCCAGATATATCACGTAACTTTAATCACATTATGTAAAACCGCGTCATGCGAGTCACGTGATATGTTCCCGCCAAATATATCGCATAACTTTAATCACGTGACGTAAAATGACGTAATGCTAGTTATGAGATATGTTCCCGTCAATAAACACTCAACATTAGCCACGTGACATGTTCCCGCTAAACCTATGTGATTTAAGCGGGGCAAGGGAGGTCAGCTTCTTCCTCGAAGTCCGAAGGTTAGCTCTGTGGTTAGTTCCAACCTTGCACAACTAGTACAAACTGCGTCAATGTTTTTTCAGGTCACTTCAATATTGTTTTCGTCTTCGTTTTTTTTTTTTTTTTCTGTTGACAAAATCAAAGTTATTTATGGTGGGCTTTCCCGCATTGATACTTATATCGTGGTAAAGCACGCTTTCAAGGCAGCGAGCGTCTGTTGTGCTGTTGAGGTACTTCTAGTAGACCGTGCAGCTGGGGCTCGTGAGTTTAGTTTCAAGTTTATTTCAGTAAGTTAGTAAACGCAAAACAGTTCTGATAGTGCGGCAATGAATGTTCATTGGTTGATTTTTAGCTTTCACTACATCACCGGGACCTTCTACAAGAACCGCGCCTGTGACTTCCATGTGTTTTGAGAAAGCAAAAGCTAGTCATCTAAACAGGACACCCATGTAACTGTGCGGGTTTCGAATCGAAACCTGCTTCGATTTCGGAATTCAAGGTAGATGTTTCCAACGTTACCACACTCTCACACACGCGTTCATCTTTCGACGCAGGTGTTCAACCTGGATACCTTTGACATGCTGACTGACCTACCAAACTGGGACGACTTCAACTCCGACTTGGCAGCTACCACAACGACCACTCCATCATCTATTGGAACAGGAAGCACTCTGTCGTCTTCCTCTTCGGGATTGGGCAGTGGTGGGACCCTGTCCCTAACAAACAAGACGCCCAGCACACAGTCGTCACATTCAGGCATGACCTACCGAGAAGGCACTGCCAACATCACCGACTACTCGCCTGACTGGTCCTACACAGAAGTGAGCGGCCAATCATCGTCGTCAAAACTTAGCTGGCGTGCATTCATTGCACATAGTAATGAATAACCTGTAGTGTTTGTATACTTTTCTTTTTAAGAAAGGGTACAAACCTACATGAAGAAATTTCTTAACTCATGCTCTCTCAAGCACATGAAACTGTGGAGTGGTCCAATCTTCTGAATATAGGTAAAACTTAGCACCTAGCCTACGGGGCCAGAGCAATATTCTACCTAGGCCAACTAGTTTGCGTATAATTTTTGCTGTGTTTAATTTATTTTAAATGTTTTGTCACCTGTGAAGTCTTCATTATTGCTAATACATCTTTTGTTATACTCTCTTTTGTCAACCTTTGATCATTGTTTTTGTTTTGTGATGTGATAACCGCCAATACCTTACATTTAATTCAAATAATTGAGTTCAGTTATTTTCAGCGTGATGATAAAGGATCAACTTAAAGTGTTCTGCCAATATGAGCTTTGTGTCCCTGTAATAATACAAGTTATTTCGTGTGTGCATTTCTACAGTCATTTGCAGTGCTTTGATCAAATTATTCAGTGACTGTAATTGCTCTTGTCGTTCTCATCACAGGGTGGTGTAAAGGTCCTGATTACAGGGCCATGGTACTCATCATCATCACCGTATATGATTCTCTTTGATGGAGTCAGTGTACCAACAACACTAGTTCAAAGTGGCGTTCTGCGATGCTTCTGTCCAGGTAAATGCTTGCTGTATTAAAATTTCCTGCCTCTCAGCTCGGAATTTTAGTATGGTTTCATGTCACCTACACATGGGTGGCATTGTACGTGCTATTAACCCAGCATAACTTCTGCTAAAATGTTCTATTCTACAATTTCAGTACAGTAGCTTTGAATCTTCGTTATGTTTAGTGACTATATGAAGCGTGGACATTTGGGCGAGTTGGTAGGACATAACTGAAAATACGAACATTGCAACCTAGTTGTAGTTACAGCATAACTAAGGAACCGAGAAACAAGGACAGGAGCCAGCACTCTTTCCTGTCTTTGTTCCAGAGCTCTCTCCTGTCTTGTTTCTTGCTTCCGAAGTTACGCTGTAACTTCTACTAGGTTGCATTTTTCCTATTTTGGGTTTAGTGATGAGCTGATGAAACTGGCAAAAATTGAATCAGCACTTCAAATATATATCATCAGAGAAATGTTTACCCAAAAAATTTATCGTCAATTTTTCTGTAACGAAATGTATTTTTAACTCAATGTAATCAGCTGCCATGCTTGCTGCTTTGTTCTGACTAATCGGTACTCATTCTTGGTTTACCATGTTATCTGTAACTATATTGTGCCTAGTCAGTATTTTCTACTGATCCTTTGGCAAGTGCATTCTATTTATGCTAAGGTATTGTAAAGTAAGCCATATGCAACTGCCAGAGCTTTTTAAAATGAATAACATACGCCCCTGTGAACTCTGCCACTTTTGTTTCATCATCAATATGCTTCTATCAGACGGTGCATACACATTTACCATAATTGTCATTGTCCATTCCTGGAAGCTAATTACAGTGGCAGTTGTGGCAGTTCATGATTGTTGTGCACATTAGCGAACCTTGAACCGTGATGTTCTCCTTTTTCAGCCCATGAAGCCGGATTAGTAACACTCCAGGTAGCCTGTGAAGGCTTTGTCATATCCAATTCAGTCATCTTTGAGTACCGTGAGCAGCCTCTCGTCAGCACTCAAAAGGCCAAAGATTGGTTTGGTGTAGACGGTAAGTACTAAGACACTCTATGGATCTACCAGAGATTCGCTATTTGCAATGAATCCCGCAGATAGTTACATTTTTCCGAGGCAACATGCGTGGTTACTTATGCAAGCAAGGCGCCGTCATGATTTAATTTCTGATTACCGTTGTTCAATGTGTATTACCATCTAAAGCCGCGGGAAATATACCTGAGGACAGCTCTTATCGCGATAGAAATAGTAGAAACGCTCGAGATGCATTTGCAATAGTGATATATTAGTGTGGTCGTTCCTTTACGATATCAACGTGAATTCGCGGCTGTTCGGGTAGGCTGTGCCGGCCTTTGCATCCGCCGCCGATTATCTGTGAGATGAGGCGCGCGAAGAGCTTGCGCAGGCTACACGGCCGTTCCTGCCGCCTCCTGCCGTAACTGGACGCCTAACAAAACATCATTCTTGCAGACTCACTCTCACACATTTTTCATGACACCCATAGGGAGTGGAGCCTGATAGTATCTTACCGCACGTCTACACTAATGTGTAACCTGACGCAAACGGCAGAAATTTGTCTTTAGGCTCACCATTAGCGCTATCGGAATAATACCGAAAAAGTTGAAAGCTGGTTACAAGTGAATTTAACTCCCACCTTCGGCTTCACCGCAACCGTTATGTGTTGCCGTGAAGACACATTTAAAGGTAAGATTTGCGTTTGCAGGTGCACACAAAGTTGCGATCAGTTCTACAAATGGCAAAAATACAATATGAGATTAAACAAATGTAGGTTGATCGGCGGTTTGTAATTTCGTATGGGAGTTTATGCTGGCTTGAGATTCGTGCTTTGGAAAACGCTGCGGCCTAGTTATATTATGTGTACATCTCGCTGTTGCGTGCGGCTTCACCGCAGCAAGTTTAGTATTGCGGTGAAGACACATTTAAAGGCAAGCGTTTCGATTACAAACACGTTTCACATTGCAGTCAATTCAATAGACGGCAAAGAAAAATAAGTGTTCTCTCTGGAGCTTCTCTTTGTGCCATAAACTGTGTTGGCTTTCTTTTTATAGTTCGCAGATTTTTTATTCAAATATTTTCGTGCAGTATTACGTTACATTGGATTATTTCGTTGTCTGTATTCTTCTGTATCTGCTGTATAAGACAAGTATGAGCAAAACAGTATTCCGAAACTGTAACATCTCGCGCTGCTTTTTTTTTAAATAATAACAAGGCACAAAAACGTAGCCAATATTCAGTGTTCTTTATTTACTTTACCTTGCAGAGGGCACTCTCAAATTCTCATTGCTGGAGCGGCTGGAAATGGTCGAAGCCAGGCTCTCCTTGGGAAATAAAGGTGGCACCCTTTTCCCTGGCGTTTTGGCTCAGGCAAGTTCTTCTTCCACATATGTAGCGTGCATTTAGTGGGCGCATCGCTGCGTGAAAAGTTTCATCGCTACGACAGCAGTGATGAGGAAGATATCGCCTCGATTCCTGCTTCTCCTCACACAGGGCTTCGCGGACCGGCAGCGTCCGTTTGAAGAGCGGCTCGTGTCGCTGTGCCAGGAGCTGCGCTGGGGTGCGTGGTTGCCGCGCGGCGGTGGCGACTCGTCGCCCGTGCGCGCACTGACGCGACCCGACCTCAGCCTGCTGCACCTGGCCTGCGGCGCTGGGCTTCTCCCGGCTGGCGCGTTGCCTGTTGCGTTGGCGCCTGCAGAGCCCGTCGCCCACGCTCGACGCCGAGGTGGACGCGCTCGCCAGGGACGCCGCCCAGTGCACGCCGCTGGTACAGAGCTTTTCACATAGTTACGTTCATACGGAAACTCTCGGTCCTGCAAAACTTTTCCAAGTATTCATTGAAGGGCTTCACTGAAGAAGTCTTATTGCCTAGCGAATCGACTGCTGCAAAAAATTTGAATACGTAAAGGTGGCGACATCGCGTGGTGGTCGCAGTAACTGTTCAGCTCACGACGTTCAACAGGACTTTGGGTTGATTGCACGGTCGTTTGGGTTTATAGCATCATTTTTCAGGAGAAGAGCCAGAGATTTCTAGCTGACTAGAAATTAATTGTTAGTTCCATGCCGCATCCTGCGCTCGTATTGTTCACATGTTCTCTGGAGCCTTGACTACCGATCGGCAGCGTTTTCTGACCATGATGAAAAAATGTTGCAGGGTCCTTAGCAGATTATGCTTTCTGCATTCTTAATCCACCTCCCCTCATTCGTTTATTCTGACTTCAAGCAAATTTTTCTTTGTAGACTAGGAGGAGTTTAAGCACAATGGCAGTTGTTTGAAATGTGCAGAGGTAACTTTTCTGAGTTGATGGTGTTAATGCTGAACGTATTGCTTAATGCAGAACATTATTTGCACCGTATGTTTAAAGGATCATGTTGGGATGCAATCAGTGGTGGTCATGTTGTCAAGCAGAAGTTATGAGCCAAAAGTGAAAGAGATGTAAAGTTATGTAGTAACGTGTTCCTATTAGTGTATACCAGTGACGATGTCATCACGTTGTCAGCTTCACAAATCAAGGGAGTACACAAAAGTTGGTGTTTGGTAGGCCACAATGACAGGGAAGGCTTCATTAACATATATATTTTTATTTCATGTCTCATTACTTGAGTCTTGCAAAACCCTTGGCTAATTTTTTTAGGGGGCTTGAGCAGTGTACGACATGAGTGAATACGAACAAGTACAGCTTTGTCTTTTTTAAATAATGCAGCTATTGTGATATCTTCGATAAACTTAATATTTTATGAGAAACAAGGGAAAGAACAGGAAAATTTTTGGATTGAATTTCGGTGCATACTTAAGTGTGCAAATCTTTTTTTTTTGGTTGTGATAATTAATACACAATTGACTGTTCTAGATCAATGGAGACCAATACGATAATGCTACCAATCTTTGATTCTGTTTTTTTTGGGGGGCCATGTCGGCGCTCCTGGAAACACCGGCCTGTTCATTGCAATTACAGAAATATTATCTATTGACATAGCCTTGGTCTGAATTCGTTTATTTTTTCTGTATATTTACAAAGTGTAATGTGCTTCACCTTCCAGTAGGCAGGAATACATCAGCCACTCAGTTATTTCTATGAAGTATTTCTTTCTTCTAAATGCTTATCGAGGCACGTCTTCCCATACGCCACCTCTGATTGCATTTCTGTTCGTGGCTCCTTTTCACCCCTGCAGCACTGGGCATGTGCTCGTGGTCAGCGAGAGGTGGCCTTGCTGTTGCTTCAGTGGAATCTCTCTGCGGCCGCTGCCTGCAATGCTGATGGCCAGACAGCCACCACGCTTGCTCGTGAAAGTGGGCACACCAGCCTCGCCGAAGAGCTGGAGCAAGCAGCTACCAAACAGCAGCACTCGCAGGATTCTACCAGCAGGTACACTCCTACTTAAACCTAAAGAAAACGAAATCCACAGCAGCTGCAGAAGGTTAACATTTCGTCACCTGGTGTGTTCATTTCGCACTTTCTGTTGTATACTTGGGTGCACCATAGACCTTTTGAACAAGAGCTGGATACTTGGTTCCATTGTATATTGCCCTCTGGACCAATAAAAGCACTGCAGAGGTAGCCTTTTCTGCCTTTGCACCACCTAGCAACAGTACAGATAGTGGACGCTTAATCTCTTTGATAGAAGCACCTAATGGAATGGATATGTGCACGCTGCCAGGTTATGAATAAAGAATGCGATGCAGGACGTCTTCTAGCATTCTAGTTTTGATGGTCTGCTGCCTCTTCTTTTCAGTGCTCACTGCCAGCTGCTGCCGCAGCAGCATGTGCGAAGCTCAAAAGGTTCTTCGACATCTACGCACAGTCGGCTGACAAAGCGAGCGTCGGCCGACGGCAACATGAGTGGTGGCTCATCCACAGAAGCAGAATCTTCCAAGCGCTCCTCCATAGACAGTGGCATGTGCGAGGGTTCCTCGTCTCTCCCTTCATCGATGCTTCTCTCCTCGAGGCTCGTCTCTAAGCTGGATCTTGGCAATGTTGTTCTTGAACCAGGTACGTTTCAGTTTGGTTGTATCAGATACCCTAGTGTCCACATTCAAAGAGGCAACCAATTTGCATTAACAAGTGCAATTAAGGCATGGAGGCACATAGATGTCACTCCGTATTTGGATATCACTTGAACGCCTGCCACATTTCCTTTCTCACTATACAGTGAAAGATGTCTAAGTTATATTAACTTTCTTTTCTGCTAGCTGTTAAGACACCACATTGCTTCATGGAATTTTCTCTCGTCTTAAAAGTTGGCCAGCAAGACATTGCTTTACCTAGTTTTAAAAGTGCACGTTTGTATTCCTGTGTTTTTATGTTGTCTGTATGTAAATGTTTGTTATACATTTCTGCACAATTATTATTATTATTATTATTATTATTATTATTATTATTATTATTATTATTATTATTATTATTATTGGCACAAACATTTATGATGTGCGCCGGTGCATAGTAGTGTAATCTGCTTACGAAAGTGCTCAGAAAACTCGGAGGTTCAATTATCTATATTATTGCATACACATAATTTCTGAGTCCAATCGTATGATGTCATACAGTAATTCTGAGCAACGTACGTAGCACTTCAACGTACTTAATTCGCATCTGTATAATGGTAAAAGTGTCTGTGAATGTCTCTCCCCTCCCCCTCACATTTTTTTCACTTTCTTGCGTACATTTTTTTTTCTTTTTATTGTGTGCATTTCTCAGTTTTATCAGCTCATTTATGTTGTTCTAGTGAAGAAAACTGACATGTGCATTTTATTAACCCATTTATGCTTTTTTCTCAGTCAGTTTTATTCGTCTCATTTATGTTGTTTTAGTGAAGAGAACTGCCATGTGGGTTTATTAGCTCATTTATGTTTTTTTGTACATTTTTCAGTATTATTAGCTCACTTATGTCAGTCCAGCAAAGAAAACTGCCATGAGCCCGTTTTTTGCCTTTCTATATGCTGTGTATGCAATGTTTGCCGAGCCCGGGGGGCAGACCCTGTCAAGCCTGATCTATAGCTTTTTAGATGCGAAGCATCTAATACTCGAAGCTTGTAGTGCGGCGCCGTCCGCAAGCTTCCTCCTCCTTCTTCCACCATCTGTGCATCCCTTCCTCCTCTACACACCACGCGCGCTTCACTACTCCACCATATGTGCACCCTTCCTCCTCTACACACCGCGTGCGCTTCTCCTCTTCACGAACATTCGCTAGCTGTATAATGTAGCGCGCATGCGCCGTCACGCTTCGAGAACATCAGCAGGTGACGCGCGCGCATGCGCCGTCGCGCTTCGAGAACATCGGCAGCTGACGCGCGCGCATGCGCCGTTGCGCTTCTCCCCCTTCTCAAACATTCGACAGCTGACAGTGCATGCGCCATCGCGCTGTATATATACTCAAGGTCGGCGCTCGCTCGCTCAGTTGCCGCTCGTCGGTTGGTTTGTACGGCGCGTCGACGTCCAAGGTCGCGGTGAAATGAATTCCAACGAATCCACAAACACAATGATCGACGTCCCTTCGACCAGCGCCGCCCTTTTGCATACGTGTGTACGTGTTCACTCATTTAACACCCCCTCCTACAACCACGTTTACCAATTTAGCCATCGACCCAAGTAAGTCGCAATTTAACACCCCATTTCACAACCACGTTAACCAATTTAGCCATCGACCCAAGTAAGTCGCACTTTAACACCCCGTTAACCAATTATATGCTCCGCATCCTCCTCAGTGTTCCCCCGAGGGAAGCTGCGGGCAATTTTTTGTCTGTCCCCAACAAGCTCCATTGATTATCTTTGAAGCTGAAAACAAACACTGATTCATTAATTGATAATTTACAGTTACAGATAGAAGGATTGTATATTTATTAGTAGTGTAATTCTAGTCCCATTGTGTCTGTTGCCTTCAACATGTTACTCATATTCACAGATATCATCCTTATCATCACCTGTTGCACAAAAATGACACCTAGATACGAGGTGTTTGATGTTACATTGTATCAAGGGTAATGCTAACCTCTTTTATGCTACAGCTCAACGCTGCAGTGTAAATTAATAAAATCTATAAATTCGGTTCATGAAAGCTGGAATAGTGCTCTGAATGCATGGAAGTGACTACGTACAATCTGTGAGTTTCTCCCTTGTTTTCCCATTATTTTACTTTCTTTCTCTAGATGCACAAGGGAGCAGCGAGAGTCCATTTATTGATGTTGTTGGTGTATCGGATGAAGAAATAGAAATGCAAAACCCCGTACGATCTTCCGGTGAGCCCTTTTCTTCAACTTGCTGGTTGTGGCAAGCAGATTACTCATATCCTTTTCTCCGTGTCACTCATCTTAGTCATCTCTACCAGTCAGATGCTCACAGCAGTCATTAGCCTAGTCATGATTCAGAGGCTCTACTATGTATGATAAACAAAGTAAAAGTGCTCACTCTATATGACACTACTGCTCTAAAGAATTCACAGAATTTTTATCTATATATGTATATCTTTTCTTATTAGTAACTAAATATATGCAGAAAACCTGAATGACTTCCTAACTCTTTAATCTTCATATTTCTATTTTTTCTTTATCTCATTATTTTGCCGAAAGCCCTGCCGTAAATGTACTGCCTTGTGTGCCTAGTGGTCTGTTGCTAGATATAATGCCCTGATTACAGTGCTGTTGTTCGCCTTTTGTAACAGGCAATAAGCAGTGACAACTGAATTGTATAAGTACGTGTAACACGTATGTAGTACATGGTCTGGCGCGCATGCCACATTCCTTTAGCACTGACCATACTGCTTTTACTTATGTTTATTACTTTTGAACGCATCAATTTGTCAGCATCAGAGCTGTAGCATGACTTCACTTTTATTTTCTTAGAGACCTTCGTCTGAAGTAGTATTACATAGCTGGTAGTAATTAAAAAAGTTAAACACAGGTGCTTCTAACAGCTTCCAAAAAAAAAAATGGCAGCATGTCCACGGAGTGAATAATGGAAAGTGGGGCGAAGCATTCATCCGTCCATCGTTCTTGCTTTCGTCCGTCCATGCGCCCGTCTGTGTGACCGTCCGTGCATCCATCCGCCCGTCCGTGCGTGCATCTATTCGTGCGTCCGTCCCTGCATTCGTTCATGCGTCCATCCATGCATCTGTCTGATTGTCCATTCGTCCATCTATTAAACACTTCATGTACCACCATCTCGCATCTTTTCATCATATATTCCCCATATAGAAGCACCGCCATCCAGCGGACATTCGAAGGACTAAACGAGAGGTGGCACACGCACACTTTCTTACGGCTTGCGCTTCGTGTCTACTTCCCACCTTTAACCACCTCGAGTTCATGGTATATACTAGTTCACAGTATTCATGGCACTGTGGCCCAACACTCGCTAAACCTTTTTAAAACCAAAGAGGTTACGCCCAGCGAGTATAACGTAGAAACCTTTTCCTGTCAGATAGGGCTCAATGTACATGCCAAAGGCTGCTAATGGGAAATGAGAGACAGGAGAATTTGGCTTTTACTTTCTTATGGCTTGCACTTCGTGTCTACTTCCCACCTTTAACCACCTCGAGTTCATGGTATATACTAGTTCATTGTATTCATGGCACTGCGGCTCGCTAAACCTTTCTGAAAGTAAGGAGGTTACACCCAGCGAGTATAATGTAGCAACCCTTTCTTGTCAGATAGTGCTCAATGTACTTGCCAATGGCTGCTAATGGGGATCGCAGCGTGCGCGTTAACTAAAAGCCGAATGCTCCTGTCTTTCATTCCCCCTTAGCAGCCATTGGCATGTACATTGAGCACTATCTTTTATTGTTCAACAACGCACAGAATAAATCTCTCACAAGCACCACCTTGGAGGTCAAAATGTTATACTTGTTACACACTACAACAGCTATGAGGGACGAACGAGGTGCCGCTATAAGGAGCTTCGCCCCTAAAACAAGAAACAGCTGAGCCAATTATGGCTCCAATGCTGTAAAGAACATCATTCCAGTTTTTTGCTGCTTGGATAAAAAAACAGACTTCGAAAGTAGTGGTCCAGGCATGTGGTTGTGCAGCATGCAGCGGATTACCGGTACAATGAGATATGCATGAATAAGGCATGATTTGAGTTGGATGAGTCAGTGACCTGTATTAAAACATTTAATGAAGAGCACACTTTACCTCTTGCAGGGATGAGCCCATTAGGTAGGAGACGAGAAAGCCACAGCAGCGTGGGCTGTGACCTGGGCACTTCGTCTTCGCCTGCAGCAGATGCCTCATCTCATGTGCCAGGAGACAGCCGTGTGCTCACACTTGCTGAGCAGATAATTGCGGCGTTGCCAGAGCGCATCAAGGCAGCTCCGCGTACAATCGATGATGACGAGGATAACTCAATGGAAGCTGAGGGTCTGTTTCTGCTTCTGTCGTCACCGGACACGGCTGGCGGACCCCACAGTCCTGGACTGGCGGCTACCATGTGCCCCGTTGACGATCCGCCGCCGCCACTTCTCAGCGACGACTTCAATTTCGAGTTTAGTGACTACAACTACAGGTAATAATAGTAAAAAGTGAGAATAGTTGGGGCTGGAACGTTAGCATGTGTACTAGTGAGAAACTTTTTATTCTTGAGATATGTGTTAGAGTGAATATAACAGTACAAACAGAGACATTCTGTCTGTGGGCACACCTCGGGAGAATGAATCAAGGAAGCAAGCAAATAGTGAATGTTAGCATGTTGTTTGTCAGAACATTTGAACACATGCAGGTACAATAGATAAAAATGCTGTTTTGTGCAGTGTCTAAGACACATACATTCTAAGACACATACATTTCATTCTAGTGGGCAATTCAGCTGAAGTTTTCCTCACTCATATACATATATATGTATATATATATACTATACCTGCACATGAAATATGTGTGTGTGTGTGTGTGTGTGTGTGTGTGTGTGTGTGTGTGTGTGTGTGTGTGTGTGTGTGTGTGTGTGTGTGTGTGTGTGTGTGTGTTTCACTGTTCCCATTAACTCACACATACTCACATACTTGGTTTTAACAACCAGTAATAAGGGGGTTGGCATTGAATAACTAAACTAGTTCATATTGTGCTGCCTATTAGGTGCCCACAGTAGAAGTGGAAGTATTCTGTTGCCTATTATAGTGCCTTCCATATAAATGTAAGTTTAGAATGAAACTAGAAATAAATGAAGCTCTACTGTTTTTCTTATCCGACTCATAGCTACAATACCAACATATCCACATCAGAGAGAAAAAAAATATGATTTATCAATAGAGTTCTGAGTGAATATCTTTTTTACTGGCAGGTACCATCTTTTCATTGTGCTATCTTCACTTCTATGGTAGGAGCTGAACGGGATTTTTTTTTTTTGTATAAAATGTTTGTTCCACAATTTTATTTTGTGCAGGTATTGCGAAGCGGGAACTCCGTCGTCATCCCTGAGCCCAGCTTCATCATCATGCCTGCAGAGTCCCGGAAGTTTCACGTTAGAATCGCCTTCGCCTCCTCCAACCACTGCGGATTTCTGCGAGTTCTTCAAGGCTTCTGGGAAGATCATGGAGAGGGACTTCTCCAATCTCACTCTTTCAGGTAGGGAAAGGCTTGGCAATTAGGGTGCAGAGCTGTAGTCGCGCGTTTGCATGCACATCGTATTCGTAGCCTTGTGTAGTGTTACTTTTTATTGCTCTGAATACGATTGTTGATGAGCCTCTAATTATATCACAAAAAAGTACAAATTTTAGCATTTATTTTTGACAGCAGCTCGCTATGCTCCTCCGTGTGGCATGCTCCTCTCAAGTTAAAAAGTGGGTCAACAACTAACCTGGGGCACTACTTTTTTATTTTTATTTTCTTTTTGCAGCTTATTTTTTGTTTAATGCTAAAGAGGTGTGCTTACGCAATTCAATGGGTTCACACAAATTGTGTTGAGCTAGCATTTTAGTACTGAAATTCCAATTGTCCCTTCCTATTGAGGTCCTTACAACTAGAACACAGTGCGAAGACGAAGTATTAAGGGGGGCAGCCACCCCTCTCTGTGCACGCAGCTATGCAAGCAGGGTCCAGCTCATTCGAGTTTCACTAGTACGCAACAACCTCATCCCCCGTGGTACACTCAAACCTCATTATAACAAACTTGCATCTTACATGAAAATAGGTTTGTTATATGCGAAATTTTGTTCTAATGGTTTATTCTTAACACTAAATCTATTGCGAGACTATTTTTCATTTACTTCGTTATAACCAATATTTCGTTATATCTGGATTCGTTATATCGAGGTTTGAGTGTAGTACAGTGGTATTGCATTCTAAGGCGGTCCTTTCAGTATGCATACTTGTGTTTCCTACAGACAAGGAGCAACGAGAACTGTACGAAGCAGCCAAGATTATTCAGAAGGCGTATCGTTCCTACAAGGGCCGCAAGCGCCAGGAAGAGCAAGAGAAAGAGAGGGCGGCCGCTGTGCTCATACAGAGCTATTACAGGAGGTATAAGCAGGTGAGTGCTCTTACAGAAACACTTTGCATTTTGATTTATTTCAGTACTAGCATTAGTACTGTCCATTCACCAAGAGACCTACGTTGAAGGCTCTTTCACAGCTTTTCCCAAATAGGGTATTATGGCAGAAGACACCGGCAAGTAGACAGCGAGGCGGATGTGGCTTCTATCATAACTCAGTTGGTAGAGTATCGGATGTGCAATTAGAAAGTGTGAGGGTTTAAATCTGACCAACAGAAAAGGGTGATTTTTTTGTCTACTTTAATTCATTACTATACGACAGTTAAAGACAATTAATGTTTCCCAATGTTTTCCCGGCCAAACTGTCTGTCAGATTCATTTGGTTGGGCTTCACTGATGTCATTTGGTGATTCCCTAAAAGGAGAGGCAGCTTTAAAACGTGCCTCGAGTCATGTGTGCTTCAATATCGATAAATTTTTTTCACTTCAGAATCACTGCATACAATAACTAAAGTGCAAAGGGCTCTATTGCCTTCTGCTATATTGAGACTAGGTAGAGTGGCAGAACATTCCAAGACATGTAAACTAAATGCTCTATTTTGATTACTTTCTACACAGGCAGATGAAGCCTCATATTTTTTTTAACTCTTGCCAGCACCGTAATAACATACATAAGACAATTTTTTATAATGAGTTGTGTAACATGTCTTCCACAATTTCATCACAAGCTCCTTTTCTAGGAAATCAATGGATTCCATCTTTGCCACCATCCTCTACTCAGTAACTTCAATTTCCACACCTTCTAGATGCTGCACCATGAGCACATCTCTGGAGCGAGATGTGCTTATATACATTGACTTCCACGTCACACATGTGCTTTTTATGCAAAAAAAAACTGCTTAAGGCCCGAACATCTCAGCATTAATTGACTCATCGGTGTTTTTTGCTCATTTCGTGCAGTACATGTACTACAAGCAGATGACCAAGGCAGCCGTCGAGAGCTTCCACGGTTGGTGTGAACAGCACAAGAGGTTCAAGAAGAGTCCCGAAGGAGAAACGGCCACTGGTAGTCCTGGACAAGGCTTCTTCCACAGGGGCTATTCGGACGACCGGCGGCAATCGTCCCTCTCCAGCCGGGAGGGAACTCCCACCGCCTCGGCTTTCAGGTCTGTTTATCTATCCATAATGAATTGGTTTGTTCAGCGCGAAATACGAGACGGGAGTTAAGAAGTACGCAGTCTCATATTTTTCACTGTTCCTACATTATGAATCGAAACCAACTAGCATGACTGCCCATGCTGTTGTCTATCTGTCTTGTATCAGCTTCTGCAGTTATAATTTTCGTATTTAGTAATACCTAGCACTAGAATGGCTGTAGATCCTGGAGATGAGAAACATAGATGATAGCCTAAAGGTGTGCTTTCCCATCATGAAGATGTTTGGTATCTCTTTTCACCAGTAAAAGTAGCAGCAATGCTTTAAGGGATTACAGTGACATTTGTACATTCACTGTCACAATCCTATTGCTTGTAAACATTTGCACTTTCTTCATGAAAAGATGTGATAACTTTTTATGCAGTTTAGCATTCTTTAATCATTGCTGTGATCTAATTTGCAGGTCCTCCAAACAGAGGCATTTAGTAAGATTTGTAATGTTGGTAAATATAAGAACAGCACTCAACTTATCTGCATCATTGTTTAGCATGCGGTCACTCAAAATAGTCGATGGTATCGTGAATATTTGATAATTTTTCTTAGTGTGTTCAGCAAATTCAATCATCTCCTTCACCATTTCCTTCACCAATGAAGTTGATTATCTACACAATGCAGTAATAGTCTTCACTAGCTTCTTCACCCACGAAAAACCTTTAATTTGTTTTTGCTGCAGACGAACATATTCCCAGCGGCGTCAGCACCAGGCCGCTAGGAAGATTCAGCAGTTCATGAGACAGTCGAAAAACAAGTAAGTCTATAAAGAGAAGTAATATTTTCTGCACTTCTTTAACAGTGTAATTTGCATTTGTGTGGCCCAAAAAAGAAATGTTCAAAGGCAGAATATTTCTGGCAATTTGAACAGTTTTTCTGCTGTTTGTTTGTCGAGTTTCTGGCATATAACAGCTAATTTATTGCTGTTTCTTCAGGAGGTATTGAGGTGTCGCACTGTGTTACAGTATAGATGATTTGTGACATCTATCATTATCGGTTCGACGTCAATGAGACAGTCAGACTCAAACTAGTTGCGGTTCCTTAACATTTACTTGTATTATACTAAGCTTAAGTGCGGCACAGAGGAAATGTGTAGTATTGAAGTCATAGTTTTACTGCTGTAGCTCGAAAATAAAAACCAGGATGTTGTTTTTTGGTAGTCACTACAGGGGTTTTTCATTTTGTATTTAACGAGCAACAGGTGTCAACTTAGCACAAAAAGACCTTCTTCAAACATATTCTCCTTATGCCACTCTAATGTATTCTGTTGCCCTTCTCTTATTCATCCGCCTTCTCTTTCAGATCTACGTATGGGTAACCTTTTAGCTGCTCTAGAATTTTGGTATTTCCTGGATGTTAGTCCTTTTCCCATGTATTCAAGGCTGAAAGACACTAAATACTATTCATACGTGAAAATACTAGCCCAAACATTACCGTTACACTCCCTTTATTCTATAACTACTATACTTATACTGCTGTTAACCTATCTCTCTGCTTACACGGTGAATTGCTTTGAGCAAAGTGCTCATGCTGAAACTGTGGCCACGAAATTTACAAACATGCCGTTCTTAATTATCAATGCAGTATACTAACTAGTACAACTCTTCGAGATATCAACAACTCACTACAATGACTGCACGATGCTTATGCGTAGCATGATTGCCCCAGGTCACTTCGGGTACAGCGTGTGTGCATGAAAAAAAAGTTGCCTCATTGCTAACTTTTTTACTCTTCTATCTCTACGCTCACATGGTATGCTGACAGGCTTTCTGTCTCTCTCTCTTTCGTACTTTCATACAAAAGCAGCATGTGGGAGTTTTTACATGGGAAAGTGGTGAGTTCTCTCTGCCTGCCCTCACACCATCTACCTTTTCTCTCTCTCCTCACGTTTCTGCACCTGTCTATTTGCACCTACTCATTTTTCCTTCTTCCCTGCTCAAGGTCCAAGAGCTTAATAAGGGTCCTGTTTCATCTCTGTGGTACTTTTTCTTTATGAATGATGGAAGGAAAGTTTTTCAGGGCTCATTCCTTTTTTTAGCACAACTGTAATGCAAACCAGCAGATAATGATGCCACAAAGGCATAGGAGACGTTAATTGTACTTCTTTTTCAAGTTTATAGATTGTGATATATACCTGAAGGTAGTGTGGGACAAGGCAACTTCCTGCTCGCAGAGATCGAAGTCTGCAACCTCAGCTTCGGTCCCTGCCAGCGTCACTTTGCTTCGTTCAGATACATGTAATAATTACTGCCATACACCTAAATCAAAAGCACAATTAATGCCCTCTGTACTTTCCTTGACTTCATTATCTGCTGGGTTTCACTGAAATTGTATTTCACATAGCATGTATTTCTGCAAAAGTGACACGTGCATGATATGTTTTCGAAAGTGTGAAAGTCGAGAGGAAACTGCTGCAGGGCTAAAACTGATTAATGCAACGAAATTGGTTGCTGTTTGTTTACTAAACATACGCTAACTATTGCATATGTAGAGAATCAAGAACACATGATGGGAATGTAATGTTTATGCATTCCTGTGTTTCTTGAATCTTTCTTATCACGGTCATGAAGCAATGGATTAATGTGGAGACTTGCAATCAACAACTGTGGGGACAAGGGTTCTTTGCTGCTCTAACGAAGCCCAGTTCTCCCATCAAAACATATAACTTCCACAGAATCTTGACTCTTTTTTAAGTTACCAAAAACATGATAAAAGTTGCGTCAATAAATGTAAAATAAAGCTATTTAGTTTATTCCAGTCTACGCTAAGGTAGGAGCTTCTGAAATGAACTATCTTTTTATGCATCACTGAAAACTGTTTGTTGTTTGTGATGCACTGCTACAAGTCGCACTAAACATCTTTCTTTACTTTCCTATACTTTGTGTTCCTAACCCTCACAGAAACCTGGAAATTTGACCCAAGCTTAAAGAGACACTAAAGAGAAAATTTATGTTTCTAATGATAGTAAATTGCAGTTTCGCAATTCCAAAATTACATGCTTGCAGTGGAACAACGCTTGGTACCCGAGAAAACGAGCAGAATGAAAATGTGGCATGATGACATCCCCTTGAAATTCCTGCTCCAAAATTCATGGATTTTGACATCACCTATTAGGCCTTACATAGCAGTAAAAACTAATACATTGTCCTCTGAGGGTTTGTTGAATGTACCACATTTCAGAAATTTTGTTGAGCCAAAGTCGTCACAATACAAAAAAGTACACTTTCAAATTAATGAAATGATGTGCAGAGATTTTTCGGTGTGAAATTTGAGTACGAAACTATTACCTTGATTTTCTTCTTTATCACTTAATCTATAATGGTTAAATTACTTTTATCACTAAATATATGATGCTTCAGTTAATAACATCAATGTTCTTAGAGCATAATTTATTGATATAAGTTGATTCATTGTTTGACTTTAGTGCCCCTTTAAAGTTATTCCTTTTCCTGTTCTCTCCTCCTCCACTCCCCCATACGTCGGCTGCGAGCGCTCGCTGCGGCGGCTGCTTTAAACCATGCCGCCTCTGAGATTAAAGCAATATCTACTGCCATCTCAGAGGCAACTGATCTAAAGCAAGGACTAGATAGCTGCACGCCATGTGATGTACCTTTTTTCCCTCAGATCAAATTTACACTTTTTGTGACTGCCACACACAATCCTTCAAGCTCCGTGTATTGCTCAGGCAGTTGAACTTGTCGTAATGTTTCTAGATTGCAGAGAGAGCGTGCCTTAGCTGCCGAAAGAGAGAGGCCAGCAGCGGTCGTTCCAGCGCCACCACGGCTGCCCACAAAATCCCAGGAACTGCCTTCTAGCTTCAAGGAGACTTGAAAGGTCAGACTGCTGGTCATCTGACACAAAAAGTCTCGGGTTAATTTATGTTGCAGATCATGTGGAATCGGGTACGTGTGGTGTAAGATGGAAGGAAGACGGGGCACAGCTGCGGGCATAACTGTTACCTGGTCAACTGCAAGGGCAATGACTGAAGCCAGTCACTTCAATGATTGGGCAACCTGCATGCCAGCCATGCCCTGTATTTCTGTGTAAAGGGAATCGGAAAAGTGATAACCATCGTAAGGATTCATCTGTTTTTTTTTTATATGCTTTCTAGGAAGGGGGGAGCAACAGGCAGCATTTTGATTGTGCTTGTACATTGGTGTGCACACTTCGTTGTTTTTTTTTAGCTTACTGCATTCACTGATTCTGTTCGGCTTAGATGCACCTTGGTGCATCGCAACCTTCCTGAATTGTATAATTTTTTCTGTAGCGAAAATAATGCATGTACTAAGCACACAATAAGAATAGTGGCAAATTCTGGAACGTATGTGACCACAGCAACTATGTTAAAATGTATTATGGTGCGTCTACAGATAGCTGAAGTGTGTGACCAGACTTCAATGACTGATAATTTCGCTTACCACTATCATCACAAAGCAATGGTTGAAGTGTGCTGTAGAAGTTGTTCAGTTGTTGATTAATGTCACAGCTGTTGCGTTTTTCACACTCGTAGCAGCATGACGACAATACCTTTGCATTTTATCCTGTGACCTCTAAATCCTCAATTTCAGTCACCTTGTGTGTCCTATCTTCCTTCTTTGACACGTTCCTCAATCTAGTTCTGTGCAGCTTTTCCCAAGTGAACTAATGCAAATTTGTGGAATTCGCGACTGTGTGTTCCTTATTTTAGAGACAGACATGACATTCTTAAGTACATTGCACTAGTGGAGTTACTAAAGGGTCAGTTTTGCTACAAGTAGAAGCTTCGTCTTTCAGAAGGAGCATGGCTGTGAAAGGCAGGTGGCAACACCAGTTTCTCGATGACATCATCAGATTTTTATAGCATCTACCTGGTGTTACTTCCAAAAAGGATTGTACTTTCGAGTTTCCTGGACTTTGACTCAACTTGGCTAAAATATGTGAATGTAGTGCGAGATCCATACTATCTCGCTAATGTCAGCAGCATTGGATTCTAAAACACACATGCAGCATTTGTACTTCAATAGAAGTCAGTTTTTCTGGCGAAGAAACACTAGCTGTTCTGGAGTGCTTTTCTGTCATGCTAAACAGAATTATGGGCTCTTTTTAAAACCTGCTGTCACATGCAAAAGTAACACACTGCCCATCATATCTAAAGCTGTAGGAACAATCACTGCAAATTTTTGTTTAAGTGTACGGTAGACTTTCAGTAAACAGAAATCTGTTAAATGAAACTACTGCTTAAACGTAACTATTTCCTCTGTTATGCTTGGTTTCGGGCTTGTATTCTGCACCTATGTTCTTCTCTCAATAAATGAAACTCCTGTTAAATGGAACATATTTTTCCGACCCCTTCAGGTTCTGTTTACTGAGAGTTTACTTAGTCATACGCGCCTGAAGCATGGTTTCATATAAGAACAGCGTCTTTGCTTGTTAATGCATAATTTAAGTAATTACTGAAAGAATAGTATGTTACTTTCATTTAAGACGACACTTTAAGGCTTCACATTGGTCAAAAATGTTTCTCTATATATTTGATTTTAAAAATCTACATATTTGATTCTATAAAATGTTTTTAAAAAATTGCTCAGTTTACATTGATGTGTCAATCATTCTTGCATTCACTTCTTGTCCTTCTCATGTTTCAGCAGTGCGAGCTCAAGCGACAAATGCATGATGGAAAAGGAAACGTCTGGAGTAGACAAGACATAGAATGCAGCAGCAGCAGCAACTACGCTGACGCAAGAATTTTGGTTTCCGCGCGGCGCTTGGAAGCCACAGCTTCAATTACTTTCTGCATTCATATGTATATTGCAGTCCCTGCCACTTGGGTTATCGCGATTGCATACATTTAGGTCCTTCACATGTTTCGCTGCTGCCAGGATATGCGTTTGTACAACGTGGTTGCTTTCCTCGCCCAGTGATACGCTATCCACAAAGAGCGCGCTTATTAAGATTTATTTCGTGGTTTACGGAGCATCACTTGCTGCGATCGCTAATCGGACACATTTCTCGGCACTGTAGCCCCAGAATGGAGGAAACCTGTTATGATCTGGAAAATTTATTTCACTCATAATGCCAAAACTGCTGCTGCATTTTTCTCGCCTTCTTTTTTTAGACTCGTTTCTCACATTTTATTCTCTCTCACTTTTCCTTTTTAACATATAAACTTTCGTGAATCTTGTTTCACACATTACTTCCCCTTCTTGTAGCTTTCCTATTGGGTTTGTCACTTACACACATACATACACAAAAAAAAAGCAGTATGGTACAAATGTTTGTAAAACCATAAAAGCCTCCTTCTTTCATTAGACACAAAATCCCTTTTCTCTGCCACGCCTTTCATGTTCACAATACACGGACACATGAAACATTTTAAAAATATAACGTGAAGAAAGAAAGCAGGTACTGAGGAGAGCACTGTTTGTAATGACTGTTCGTGTTTTCATCAGTAATTTATCTTCATTGTGACTTTTTAAATGTTGTCTGTAAAAAAAAAAAGAAGAACATGGAAGCTCAGTGTTGCCTTCTCGACACAGGTTCTTTATTTTTATGTTTTCTGCGGAACTGTCAATCACTCCATATTTTGCACTTACCAGTATATGATAACATAGGACAGGACGCGAGTTCTGCAGTGGGTGTTCCTCGGTTTCTCTGTTGTTGCAGTGTCATCTCACTGATATATATTTATATATATACACACATATTCCTGTTGCCACAAACGCTTGCTTGACAATATGTTGATAACCATTTCAGCTGCTGCATGGAAGAATTATTTTTGTCCGCCACAAAATGTGCAGTGTTGTGCGTGCAGAAACACTCTGCCTGCGAGCTCCCGAAGAAAATACAAACGAAGGAGAGACGAAGTAGTGACGGAGTAAAGTCTCGAGAGATCAAGTCTCGGTACAAATGTCTCAGCATCAATTGGTGAAGATGGCTGTCATGTTATTACAAGGCCGGAGGTAGACATGAGACCGGGGTGAATGCTGAAGAGACAAGTTACAAACACAGCACAACAGCTGCTGATATCTCATATGCTTGCAATTAGAAACTTATCAGCAAATGCACTCACTGGCATTCTGGTTATGAAAAACAAAACATATTGATTATTGCGTGCATAGGAATAGCCAATGCCACACATGCTTTCTCGTATTAAAATACGAAGACAATTTTACTGACTTGTGTACATGTGCCGAGCACTTAGGTGGCTTTTATTACCGGCTTTGTGTGCGTGATATTTCTCATTCTCTCATTTGTCTGCGAGTGCTCCAGCGAAAAATAATTTTGAAACTGTTGAAAGCTTATCAAATTTGTTCACCTAGTAAGGGTGGCTTTACAGAAGTGAAGTGAAGCTGCGGGAACTTTCAGTGCGCAGTCAGTGTCAAAAGTTTGTTGGGCATGACTCCCAATGAATAAGTTTAACATCACAGAAGTAGGTGTGCGATGGTGAGTAAAAGCACATGCTGCATCATTTGCGAATATATCACTAAGGGCTAGAATTCCAGACAACCAGGCCAGGGGACTGTTTAGCTTTATTATGAATAATGAAATCCATGAACTTTTGACATTGACTGTATGTGCGTATTTCAGCAAGTTGATAGACCGGAGCACCTGCATCTCGCGATGTTGACGCATGCGAGGGAGTGTTATGGAAAACATCTCTGTTGCTGACTGTTTTCGCTTGTGCTGTGCATTGGTGTTAACACTCCCGCCGACGCCTTGTCTGTTTTTTCCTGTTGTCATATGTCCGTGCCATAGGTACAAACTATGTAGCGAGGTGAAGAGAAGGTTGTAAGTGGATTGTTGCTTCTTTAAAGGGGTGCTCTGCTGTTAGCAGGTGCCAAAGGGGCTGTTGATTTAAAGACAGGCAGGACAGTCTATTTAACAGGCACGCAGTTATCAAAAGCATGTTACATGTGCGTAACTCCTACGTTGCTATGCGCTGCTCCATTTGATGCACCATCCAAAATTATGGTAGGGAGGGGCATTTTGCCAGATCTTGTCGCCACACTTAGAGACTCCTGTGGCGAGGGTTTCCTTGAGAAATTCGCGTCTAGTTCAGGACCTCGGATTTAATCATGACTAAGCATAGAATCACTCACTGTTACTGAAAAAAAAAAAATTTTGAATCGCTTTTCCTAAGTCAAATTAAAAACTTGTAAGATGCTCGAGCTTTGCTTTCTTGAGTAGAGCACAATTACGTAATCAGTCTGTGTTGGTATCACTTTTCTAATCCCTACTTTTGCTTTCGTCTTTGGTTGACCATGCCACAAAAAAAGCTAAGATACAGACGCCTTCCAGCTCCGTGACGAAACACTGCGCGATGCCATGTAATGTGCGCCAGTCAGCATGTTGTGCCATCTCGTGGGTGAGAATCAGGTCTCTGCCATGCTGAAGCACTTTTGAGATGTGCGTACAACCAGCAGTAAATGGCCTATATAAATAACCCACCGTTAGTATGCTAGAGGATGTATGCGCGGTGGACGAGTGGCTAAATGCATTGCACCATGGATTGAGAAGTCACAGGCCCGAATTCCTCGGTCCCACTCGAACTGATGATTTTTTTATTATTATTTATTCATTTGCATCTACCTCGAATTTTCGCTCAAGTACGATGCTGCTTTTTCGCTCACAACCAAAGGTGCTGACGCTGTCACCAATACTAGTATTTTTACGAAATTATCTCTCCAACGCTATCACGTTAAAACATCCAAAAACATTTTATCATTGTAGGGTTATAAAGTTAAGATTAGTTTGTTGAAATAGAGGGGTGTCCCTCTGTTTTGACTACAAGTTTCTTTTCAATATATAACAGAATTTTGTGGAATGTTCACCTTTAAAAGACTAGTTTTGCATACTTTGGTAACCTAACATAAAGATCTGCTTAAAGTAAAGTTAGACAAATGTCTAGAGCAGAAGAATGCCTTTCTGTCCTCTTGGTTTATTGCTGTACATCCATTGACTTTGAAGGCCAACCATATCGTAGCTTAACGTAGTTATTACATTTGTTATCGAAACGACAGCAACTGGAACGTGTGCACCCATATTTAGGTAGCTTTGCGAGTTTCCAATAAGTGCTCATCCTTGTGTAAACTCGTCAAGCATTGTAACTAAGAGTTAGTGGCATGCGAGGGCATGTTCGTCGGAGAACGCACGATTTCAGAATACAGCTTCGTCTCGTTTAAGTGTCCCGTACTGATAAAAAGCTCAAACCCAGTATTGCAACGAAATCGCAAGGAGCTGATGAAAGACGCAAACCGAGTTTCAGGGCTGCCCTCCACTCCTCATGTCAATATCGGTGCACCAGCTCTGTTATATATTGTGAGGGTAAAGAAAAATAAAAAAAAATGTGCATAGCACTGTGAAATGTTAAGTTTTTTGCCTGATATATTCTTTTTTTAAGCCCTCGAGGCACTTAGAAAATATTTCAAACTGTGTGTCGATGCTTTTTCTGAGAAAGAGCTAATATGCCGTTATTCCTATCTGTTACGAACATGCCGCATAGCAGCTATCCACCTGTGCTTATCTGATGGCTTTCAAGTTTTAAGTTCACATGCAGGACATCGTTGGCGAGCGGTAGCATTTGCGGACCCGCTTGTGTACTTGTGTAAAGAATGATTTTGGGGGAAAAAAAGCTCCACTTTTGTATGCCCAGTGTTCCCCTTTTGCCAAATCTACAACTAACAGCAAACATTGCTAGTATTTTGTGAAGCATTGCAGGGCATATTATTCGGGCAAAGGTGAAGATGATCTGGGAGCTTGGTTGAATGAACTTCTTGAAGCTTTTGTATTACTCGTCGAATATACGTAGCTTAACTTATATCACATGCCCTTTCCGAAGTACATGGATTTTAAGCGCGTCAATATATTTGAGCACTCCCGGGATTAGTAATGTCCTTCTAGACAACTAGCGCTTACACAACCAAGAGGAGCGGCCTTTGGTTTTCTATATATAGTACATGAAACTCGGCAACTAGGGTCGCCTGTGTAGTTAGAGTAGCGTTAAGTTACATATTAGCAACCAAGCATCTTGGAGCACCTGGTTAGCTATCTAATCCAAGGGACCTGCTAGATCCGTAGAAGATTTGGGCGTGACTTCTGTCTCGCACAAACTATCAAGGAGCAATGTGAAGCAGCACAGGGATATTTGAAATAAAAAAGAAGCCAGGGGAGGAATGGGCCACAGAGGAAGAATCTTTTGAAGCATTGAACGGGGCGACGAGGAAGTAGGCATTATGTACGCCCATACGTCAGTGATTCTTGTTGACTGTCTTTGGTGAAACTGTCCACATCCCAGAGGCTGCTCGTTGCATATAACCCACAGCCCCCCTGCATCTGTGTGCGTACCTGTGTTGATATTCTGGTCATTTCTCGATGCAGTCATGTCACAACGGCGCGCGACTGCATGCAGAGTTGGTGACATGTACATACACCACGTGTAGTCATACTGTATACCCAGAAAATACAGTCCCAATGTACTGAGGAGAGGTTACAAGCAAAAAAAAAAACATACAAGACATGGTAGAGTGCCGACTTTTTCTTAAAACAAAAAAAAAAAGCTTTCACTTGTAAGCGCTACCTAACTATAACTACTCTCTAGTTTCTTCTCTCACCGTCTCTACTTCAAGTGAAGTATACCAGTACAAATACCACCCCCAAGTCCAAGTGTGATGGGCGTTAGTGAGCGCCATTAGATGTGGAGGTACCCAGAATCGTTGTTGCTGTCACTCTTGCTTTTGCAGAGGGGGAGAGAGAGAAAGGCTTCGGTCTCCATGCAAGCGTGCCCTGACATCTGCATCTCAGCACAAGCTTAAAAACATTTGTGTCTGACATGAACTCAACTTCAGTTTGTTTGACTTCCAATGAGCCAAGTCAAATAATTTTGCTACCGTGTCGAACGATGCACAGGAATATTTTCTTGGACGAATCAAAGACAATAGTTCTTGTTACTTGGCCAGTCGCTTAAGGACAAAACTTGCTTAGCATTTCCTGAGTGATTGCCCAGTGTGTCTCAAGATCTACAATATTATCTTGATTGTGTAAATGATTACAAATGTAATTATATGTTTCATTGCATTCACTTTCTGTTTTTTTTTATCTTTGGCAAAAGCGAGAGCATGCGATATGTGCATTTTCACGACCATAGACTCTGTATCACCTGTATACAACTCATCTTCTATACATTGGCAACATGGTATCAGTGATGAATTATTAATATCTTGAGACGATGACTAATGTACTTCTATGAAGTGCAGAATAGAGATGGGTCTAGTTCAAATCGCACCCATGAATCTCATCTAATAACTGCTTGAACTTGCACTCGAAGATTGTCGCAAATCGCAAACAAAACGTAAACCACTCTTCTATATCATTTTATTAACAAGAGACTGCTGTAACCTTCTATACCCCCTGAACCTTGATTCCTATGCAGTTTGAAGCAGTTTAGACGAGAATGCTGTCAATCTCAAAAGCATCTGCCTCTTAGTATATCATGTGTGTGTGTATTCTTTGTTTCATATTCATTTGCACACTGCATATTAACTAGCATTTCTGTATGTATTTCATAAGAAATATGATCAGTACAATGTTCAAGCCTGTTGCAACTTGTCTTCAAAATTTCATAACGAATCTCATCGCAAAGACATGCATGCCATTTCAGCATAGAGACACTATAAGACACCAGGATTTCGGAGACAGAAGCGCTGACGCTCACAAGGTATTATGATCTTGCCTATGCTCGCAAGCAAAAGGGACAAAAAATAATGAAAAACAAGGCCCGATAACGTGGTAAGCCCATATAGCCAGAAAAGTGTGCTGTGGAGAAAAGCAAACCAGCATAGATACACTTCTCTCTCTCTCTCGCCATCTTTCTGTCACTATCTCTAGTACCACACCTATATACACGCATATATATAAATATATATATAACTATATTTGTGCTCAGAAACCTTCATCGCGAGATGTGAATAATCGTGATAGCACAAGGTGTTGCTGTTTCTCGGTTGTCTCGTTATATTTTTTTTTTCTCAGTGCCGTTAATTTGTGCAAAAGCTGGGTAGCCCAGCGCCAATACAGAGCCGTCAGTTTAGACTCGAATGTCGCTTCGGCCGTTACCTGATGCCCCCAGAAGGGAAAAAAAAATTCGAAGATTTCTTATTTTTCATGTCAAAACCATTTTTCTACTGTTGCCCCCGTGTCCCTTTCCGTGGCCTCCTTTCCTCCTCCCTTTGCTCGATACATTTGTGGTGTCCATAGCTGTTTTGTAATTTCTACCTAGGAGTCACTTGTAGAGTTTGTTAACAGCCTCGTGTTAACGATTTTTTACATATATAATATATATAAATATATAATATATATATTTACTGCCAGTTCCTTGGTATTTTTGACGACTGAATATTTTTGCAAAAGTTGCAATTTTTCGTTCTTTTTTTCTTGTTTTTCGGTTCATGTTCACCAGTCCAGCCGAGACATCTTGGTAGCAAGTGAGGGAAAGCTACGGGATCGATCGCCGTAGAAGAGAAGTTATGTGGTCTGGCGTTGAGGAGTAAAGTTGAGAAGAAGAGACATGTTGAACGTCTGTTGAGAGCATGAACGTGCTGGCTCGGAGGCAGAGCTAGTAAAGTCGTTGTAAGTTCTGTGAACGTTTATTTCCCCCAACCTGCCACCCCTCCTTTTCTTTTGAACTGCGGGGCAGAGTAAAGTGTGATAGTTGAGAAAGACGCTTTCATCGAGCCACACAATGTGGGTGTAGACACTCTTCGAGCTGCTGTTCTTGTTTCCTCTATCGCGATGTGTGTGTTTTTTTTTTCTTGATCTCATCTGTTACCCAGCGCCATGTTATCACTAATTTCTCATACGTGTTTCGCTGTGTAAAAACCACAAAAACAAATAAAAACTATTCTTCCTTTCACCTTTCTCGGTTTCTTTGCATTGGTGCATCGCAGTGGTAGTACTAGACCTGAACCCTTGTGCAATAAAGTTGCTCAGCGCAAATTACACCAGTTGATATAACTGACATTTGATAAAAAATTACATTGTTGTGCTGGCAAGCTGCAGCTAGCACACAGCCATGCCCATTTTATTAGGACTTCAATAAAGACTTCGATTATTTTTTTAAGCTCATTAGGTTTTGACCATGCCACAGATGTTGATATCTAATGTTTTGTGCGATTCGATTGGGCACAGAGAAAAACCCCATAAACAGATGTATTCAAAGCACACACAGTCACCCTCATTTGGGCGTACTTATACTCGTGGAGCAAGGCTAGGATTGGCTTTGAGAAAACAGTGAGGGTGAAGAAGCAGTGATGCGAGGCTAACTCTGAAAGATGCAAATCGTATCAGCAAAAAGAGTGTCCAAGACTGTGCGCATGAAGTGTGTAAGATCCAAAGTTTTCATTTGCACTGGCAGTAACCAAGCCGTCCAACTTCACATTTATGTTGAAGCCCACTTTTAAATGATGCAAGCCAAAATGCTTTACAGTGCTACTTGCAGCTAAACCTGTCGACCGAAAGCTATGGCAACAATTCTTTTGATCTCGCTCCTACTAGAAATCAGAAATGGTTTTATTTCATCTTTAAGTGAGTTACAAATTATTTGTATACAGAAGGAGGTCCCATAGTCGGAGACTGCACCAACATTTAAGGTTTCAAGATTTTTTTAATGGAAGAACAGGATTCATTTACCTCTAAACATGCAATTGTGTGAAATCAATGAAAATTTGAGCTAAGGTATGGTATTCCACTTTCATGTGCACAGTATAATCATCAGACACATGAACTTGCATCTTAGAGCAGGCTATGAAGTTTAGAGTGTCTGAACTTAACAACTACTATAACGATAATCGACAAACTCTGCAAAGTAGTGCTTTTAATAAGCACCACTTTTATCGTAACATCAGCATCTGCAGGAGTGTCTGAAGACAACAATAACAAAGTGGTCAGACAAGCGACGACTCGGGATCCAAAAGAGGCAGAATTTCTGGCTAAGGTGAAAGCTCGAAGATATGAAAAAGCCGTCAACGCGAATGTGCTGATGGAGCGAACAGTTTCCACAAGTGGACTTGCCTTCGGTTTCAACAACTTTCAGCGTGCGGCCCAGTCTGCTCATATTGCACTCAATTGGCAAATGCTCCAGAGTTAAATATAAGTGGCTACGATAGCTTCATAACATGCAACACGAAGGTGGGAATTCACAAATATTTCAAGTAATTTGTAATAAGCACCACCTTATATTAATAGAAAAAATGGCTCTTCATCAGCATGCAAAAATTTAATGCACTGGAACACTTTTGTCTATATCTGGGTGGGATAGGCCTGCTGCCGATCACCAAATGCACAGTGTGGCTAAATCTGAAGGGTACTATATACTGCAACAATTATAGGCTTCATACGCAAAAACAAATGAATAAATCAATTAAGTAGCCCTTTCATTGACCTAAGCTCCATCATCTCTCCCTTTTTATGGCATGGAGTACCTGGCTGGAAGGACATCCAAGGCCACTTTTTTCATCTCTCCTCTATCTCACAGCCACATGTGACAGGTGTGCTATATTACCGAAAACCTGCATGTTCATTTATCGCATATTTGCTAACGAAGAAGAAAACACAAGCTAAAAGTTACATTTTTAGTTCATGTGCAAGACATAATTGGCTCTTTATAAACCAAAAACCTGCATGTTCATTTATCACATATTTGCTAACGAAGAAGAAAACACAAGCTAAAAGTTACATTTTTAGTTCATGTGCAAGACATAATTGGCTCTTTATAACTTATAGCTATTCAAAATTATGAGAAAAATCATTTTGCTGGACACGTGCTAATATCATACATTCATCAGTAGGATCTAATTTAAAAAGTTATATAGAAATTTCACAGGGGTTGCTGTAAAGAAATACCACTTTTTCTGTGAAAATAATTGTCGAATTACCATACTATGTTTGCTTTACATTGGCATTATTAGCTGAAACAATTCTTAAAGATATCTGCATTGCTTGTGTAGGCAACAATACTACACACTAGTACACAGAAGTAATAGGGCTAAAGCACAGCTCTATTTTATTGCAAACAAGTACAACCAATTTCCTATTGCACACTCAATCAAGTTTCGGCTTAATGTACTGAACATTACTCCTGTGTTTACGCATCAGCTCAAGGAGCTTTTCCCTTCTCTCTTCGAGTGTCTCCGGCCTTGGTCTGTTGCGCAGCTTATCGAGAACTCCGGTCACAAACTTCTCGGCATCGAATGCCCTCGCTTCGTCTATCTGGGCTAGAAGCTCTGCCCTGAAACTTGCTCTTTGTTCTTCTCAATTCGATACCTTCGTTTCGACCACAGCGCGTGCATCCGCTTGCGCAGTTTCCGGAGCTTGTGTTTTTTCATCTTTTTCCGACGAACAATCAACATGTTCACGGCCCGCTTCTCGTTAACGACGCCTGTCGGTTTCGGATCTGTTTTCTCCATTCCATTGGAGTTTGTGTCCGTTGACGGTGCTATAACTTTGGTGTCCCCGATTGCTGTGGTTGGCTTCACGAAGGATGGAAGGTTGTAGTCCCACGACCTCCGCAGAGTTGGGAGATTGATGGGACTTTTTACGCCTGGAGGTACGTATACTACGCTTCGATCTACAGTAGTTGATGCCGGCAAGCGCTCAGCCGCGACTTTGCGAAGACATGTCCCAGGCAGATAGGATTCTTGATGAGCAATTTGATGTAGTTCCCCTGGAAACAGATACACAAAACAGTAAAATGCAAGCACGATCGTATAGTTACAAGACAGAGCACGAGTATTTTATATACACTCAGCGTTTTAGCATTGCTGCATCTTGGAAACCACGTAACAACTAGGTAATCCGTCTACAGGCGATGCGTGATTGTGGCTAGTGTGCGCATTTAACGGTTTAACCTCGAAACTTACTTTGTGGCGGTAGGATGAAACGAGCCGATCTCGCAACTCGACCTACTTCAGACGCAGCTCGCGTCAAAGCACGTACAAACTGCCATGGCAGGAAGGGGCACACTCGGCGCTGAAAAAAAAAAACATCGAATCAAACAATTTTGAAACACTTCTGCGCGGCACATTTGTCAGTTCTAGCGCGTCCAACTGAGATCAACGTTAGATAGATCGCCCGAAAATCGCGCTTGCCGGCTGCTATACAAGCGATAACTGCAATCGAAAAAGCCGACCTACATTTAGAGCAGAAATTAGGACGACAAGTGGCAGCCTACGTGCATCATTCAATGAAATAGGAACAAGTTAACCAACTAGTTTAATTAAGCGAACGGGGGAATTTAGGCAACTGCCTGAAACAACCAATGCGACCACGCAACATTTAAGGCTTGGGCTTTGGCTTGATCTGGATTCAAATGCTGCATTTGCAATCAGTTTGTTATGGCAGTTATGTTTTTTGTGCGATTCGTAACTGGTGCTAAAGGATAACTTTTGCTCAAATTTTCGCATCTATGTTATAAATATAAACATTTAAATTACTATAGTTTTACGTTCTGTGCATATAAAATTAAAATACAAATTGTTAGTCCTAAATTTTAATAAAGTTGTTTACGCTCACTTTAGCCTCAACAACGCTGTTGCAGGACACCTTAAAAAACGAAACTGGCGCCGTCCGTTTCGTAGCGTTGATTTTTTACCTACGTAAACGCAGGCGACGCTGGGCAACGGCCGTGTGTTGTCGCATTTTTTTCTCGTTCTGCGGGGAAACAAATAATTCGTCATGCGATAGCACTATCGCAACTTATCGGTCTTTTCTCTCGCATAGAGTTCAGTGCGGTGCGCGCGTTCTTCTCGAGGACTTTCTTCTGTTTCCGTAGCTTGCTGTGGTAGAAAAAAAAAATGATTTCCATCCAGAACCCTCAGCTCAAGGTAAAGCACCCGCCTACCTTTTTCTCTGTAAAGTGCGCAGCTGCGAGATTCCGCAAACATTTTCTAACTCAACATCATGGTGCTGTCGGTGGAGTCGGTCGGTAACGCCGGATCACTGAAACATACGCTTTTGCGGCGTCTGTAATTAAAAATTTTCTGTGAAAATCGCAGGTTTCACTTCCCCCAGACCCGCTGCAGAGCCTTCAAGTTTGCGGCTCTTGCTTTTTTTTTTTTCTCTCTTTACTGGCGTGGTTGCCCTTTGGCTGGTTTCACGTGCTACAACTCTCTAAACGACTCTTCGAATTTTGCCATTTCAGGCTATATTTCTGGTTCACCTGCTCCTCACAGTATGGTGAGCACCTTGTTTTTTCGGAAATTGTAACGCTTAAACCTTTAACCGCTTTGAGTGCTAGCCTAACGATGCTTTGCCTTCTCTTCAGGCCGTTGCAGGAAGCGTGGGCGCCCCAAGCGTATCTCTACTACAACCTCATTTACCTGCTGATGTTGGCTTGGGCGATACATCACAAGGATTCCGAGGAGCCTGTATTTATGGTAAGTGTCCGCGCTGTCTCATGCAGTAGTTATAGAGCTGTACTTCTGGCAGTGCTACGTCAGATAGCAACTGTAAAACCCCTTTGAACTCTACTTGGTTAAAAAAAAAACAATTTACATTGGTTATAAAGTGATTAACGAGCAGGCAAAGCTCACGGCTCCAACACCGGATTCGCTATTTCCAACGCTTCTTTCCGGCTCTTCCTATCTCACCTGCTCCACCGGATGAGGGCAAACATGTTTTAACTATTCTGAGAGGGGTCATTCACAGCCCCTGTCTGTTTTAACTATTCTGAGGGGAATCATTCACTGCACCTGTCTGTTTAATCCTTCAAAGTTATGGCATTTAGTCCGCAATTACGAGAAGCTTAGCTCGAATCACAGTTGTCTGTATGGACTCTATTGACTGAAATAAAAGCTACAGGTGTGAGTGTGAGGAAAGTAGAAATTAAGTGGTGAATTCTGCCATGACTTGCCAAAACACTTCCTTTACCTGCTACAAATTTTTTGCATTATCAACTTACCATAGTTTTTTTTATGTGTGTGGCATCTGTGACAAATGGTTAAACAGGTTAAACACTTTTGTAAATGGTGCACCTCACAAATTCAAGTCTCTCATTGTCTCAACAACTAATGCTGTTTTCAAAATAACGACATTGGCAATTCATAATGCAAATTATTTGTGGAAGTTTGGTCGGACAGGCAGTGATTAAGGGAAATAGTTTATTCATGCTGAACTTGTTCAAAATGATTGTTTAGCAAGGTGATAAAAACTGTGCTCTACAGCTTGCAAGTGCCTAAGGTCCTCACGAGGCAGCAGTGAAAAAAACAAAACAAACCAAACTAGTCAGCCTGCATACATATATTAAGCAAGTATACATTTTAACCCTTTAATTCCCGAATTATAATATGGTGATAAATTTGGTGATAAATAGCATACTGTGCCTGTTTCTCTTTCATTAAGTAAATACTGAAGGCCATTTCATTAATTTGCATCTGTTGTCCCTGTTGGTTAATTAAGCAAAATGGATACCTCAGCTAAAGCACTTTTCGAATCAAAGGTGAAGATTTTTACCTTCACTTCTATGTTTAATAATTTGTGTCACTTTTTGAATGACCAACAGTACCTTCCAGGTTGACTGGAAGATCTTTTTTGCACAAAGTAAAGCATTCTTTTGAAAATTGGACAGTTTAAGAAACTGGTTCAAATGTTACTGTGATGTTTCAGGTGGCAAACATTGCTTGTTTGATATTTACTTTTGAGTTGCCGCCCACACTCATTACTCGTGACAGCATTCACTCAGTCCATGCAGACATGGCTGATCAACTTCTTTGAGAAAATTATAATTGGAAATGCTTTTATTTTCTAAGCGAGGGGTTGGGGGTTCTTCAGGCGAAAAACTGTGCTCTACAGCTTGCAAGTGCCTAAGGTCCTCACGAGGCAGCAGTGAAAAAAACAAAACAAACTAGTCAGCCTGCATACATATATTAAGCAAGTATACATTTTAACCCTTTAATTCCCGAATTATAATATGGTGATAAATTTGGTGATAAATAGCATACTGTGCCTGTTTCTACACACATTCGAGGTTCGTTGATGTTGAGCATGATGACGGTGGTTTTATTGCCAACATTTTGATGAAGGAAGAATGTCAAATTGCTTTGTGATGTGTCTATCTTTGGATTTATTACAGAGGTCCCACATCGATGTTATATTATGAAACTGTTTTCGTTTGCCAGTCTACAGTTTTTTTTTTAATATGTATGAATGATCAGTAAAACAATGTTCATGTTGCTAAAAAATTAAAGAAGCCCACTTAATAAATGTTGTTCGAGGTATAGCGCATCCAGGACGGGACAGAGAAGAAAACACAGAACACATACACGGCGCTACATGAATAACCAACATGCCCGCCGTGCAACCTTAGTCCAGTTAATAAAAGTCGATTCAGGTCATCAGTGTACCTCAGTACTTGAGGGTGTATTTTTTTTCAGTGGACTTATAGAGGCATATGCACTGAAAATTAGTGCAAGGGCATAAAATAAATAGACGCAGCCTTACAATGAAAATTTGGAGCCCTGTCAAGTGGTTGCACATATTACCAAACCAGCTTCATTTAATGTATGGAAGATGAAAAGCGTCTTTTCTGTATCTTAAATCTGTTGCTACTGAAATGTCTTAGAAGGGCCAAACATTGGATCTGTTTGTGTTTCATATATTTTGCAAAAAGATAGCAAATAACAAAGGTGATGACAGAACTATACAATATGAAATCTCTATTGTTAGTGTAGTCCTCTGTGTATCATCGTTGTTAGATAATGATTTGTCTTGCATTAGTATGATCAGTCACACCAGGAGCTATTAGGTTAGGTTAGTACTGCTTGTGCCTGAATTTAAACCTCTTATCCTCGTTTTCTTTGCAGGCATTAGCCATAAACCTTGGTACAATCTTGATGGACATTGTCACGCTGGGAATGCACTTCCCCCACCAGTTCACATTTTGCGCTGGGTATCCTTTTTTTCTGTGTGGTAACAACAGTAACCGCATTTTAAGTTAGCACGTTTCGGGTTTAACTAAGACCACGTCTACATTGTGAACTAAGTCGCGAGTGGCAAAAATTGTGATTTCTACTCTGCTCTTGTGCAAAGTAAGTACAGGATCAGTTTACATACTCATTAAGAAAATCTGTGTTCATGAGATGGACATTTGTTTATTGTTTTCTTGGTACTTTCAATAATTCATAATTTGGTTCATCTGAAATTTGTTGCTCTCCTGTAAAATCCAAATTAACAAGCTTTAACTGTAATCTGTATTCTCTTGATCTTCTAATCCTGACTGATGTGTGACTGTAATGGGCAGTGCATGAGCAAACTTGTGCAAACACGGCTGCGTCGGTAGTGTAGGAAGTTGTGAGTAGCGCTTGTTCTGTGCATCGCCATTTTTTATCAGTTGTGCAATTGAATCCATGCTATCCAGTATTTCAGATGTTACATCCTGTATTGCCCCATTTTCCTTAGTTTCGCAAAATCATCAGCATTGCCATTGTTAACCTCTTGTTTCGGCCGGTGTCATCAGTATTCCTGCTGCGCATTTTCAACGAGCGGGGCGGTAGATATGCAGACCTTGGCATTCCGAACTTCGCTGGCGGTGCGTCCTGTCCTTATTTCTCATCTTACATATGTTACGAGTTGCTTACATAGAAATGATGTTGCAGCGGACATGCAGACATGGCTGATCAACTTCTTTGAGAAAATTATAATTGGAGATGGTTTTATTTTCTAAGCGAGGGGTTGGGGGTCCTTCAGGTGAAAAACTGTGCTCTACAGCTTGAAAATGCCTAAGGTCCTCACGAGGCAGCAGTGAAAAAAACAAACAAAAAAACTAGTCAGCCTGCATACATATATTAAGCAAATATACATTTTAACACTTTAATGCCCGAATTATAATAATGCTGAGCAAAATAAAAATTGTTTTCATGTTTCAGCTTCAAGTAGCAACCTTGAAATGATTCCTGCAGTTAAATGATCTAAAATTCAACTTTAATGCATATTCTTGCATATGTTAGGAATTCTCCATATGCCTACAGAAGTGAGGACCTAGCAACAAAAAACATATTTTAGAATTACATAACATGTTGTGTACCACCTCTTGAGTGTGCACACATCAAATATAAAAAATTATTGAAGACAGAACTTACGTCACCAAGCGGAGAAAAAACGATGAAGTGAGAGTTGTTGCACACGCTTCGCCCTCTCCTCCATGAGCCCCAAAACAATTGGTTCTAGCTTAAAATACCTTGAATGACACTCTGCTAGATTTTTCATGCTGAAAGCTTCATGCCCCGTGAGTACTTGACAGCCGGCACGCATTTCGTGACTTAATTGCTTGAAGTTTTTCGATATGCAGCGAATTTGCGACATCCGGCAGTAAGGGGTTAATACACTTTTTCTGTGTCTCTAAAAAAGCGCGTCATGAAAACAAAATTTGTGTTTTCACATAGACCCACAGTACTTACAAGCAAAATAGAAATTTATTTCATTTGGTTAGAGGAAATTATCATTATAACGCATTATCATTTACCATACATCAGTAAGGTGGCATTTATAACACTCTATAAAAAGGCAACAATAATCTTGGCTGTGATGCATAATATGATGATACATTATAGTGTGAAACATTGAGGGCAAAGAGAAACAAAACTATGTGGGTTTATTCACATTTACAAAAATACTCTACGATTCACAAGATTAATGTTTTCGAGAAATCAATGTAGATTCCCATAATTAACATTTTATCATTAAAACTTGTAATATTGTTTCTCTTTGAGCTAAAAGAGCAGTCTCAGTGGAACGGTGCTTCCTAGAGCCATGTTGATGATCAGCTAATAAATTATTTTTGTCTAGATATGAAAATATTTTAGCATGAATAATCTTCTCAATGCTTTTTGAGAATATCGGTAGAGGTGAATTGGTCGATAATTACCTGAAACATTCTTATCGCCTTTTTTAAAGATCGGCCGTACTCTAGCTATTTGCATGTGTTTTGGAAATTGGCCAGACGATAGAATAAGGTTATAAATGTGAGTAAGAACAGCACAAATAAGGTCGAGTACATGTTTTATAGGTCCTATTTAAAAACCATCAGTGTCCTGCGACTTACTATTTTTGACTGAATTTATTGAAAAAAAAACTTCAGCGCAGTTCGTAGGACTAAACAAGAATGATTTCGCACTAATGTTTTTAGTAACGAGAGCATCAGAGTAGCTGCTGAGTAAATCATTTTCAGGATTTTCCTGCTTAACAAAGAAGATAAAATAAAAGTAATAATTTTGACATTAGTCTTGTAATGTGACATGTTAGACGTCATAGTGCCTCCACCGAATTGATTGTTTTAATTAATACACTGCAGATTGAGGTCAAGTCAAGATGTACTGACCATGCAGACAGTTCAGATCATCCAATAAGCAATTTGTCTTGCTCTCTTTTGGCGAGAAATCGACACAACTTGATAAAACAAGTTGCATATACAAACATTGCCGCCACCACTAAAGGGCATACAAAAACACAAGCAGGGTTGTGCAGCTACCTCACTTGGGTATCAAATACATCGCTTTGTAATTTAAGTATCGAATTCAGGAAAGTTCATATTCACTTTCTACATTTGATGCTCAATTGTTTCTAAAGTCTATTACAGAGTTACAATTGTTGAATTGGTTTTTGTTTTGCTTGAAAACAGCTACCTTGTATTGGTGTTCCCTTTGTTAACCTCCCTCTGTAATCCTTCTCTCTAGAGAAACTATATGCTCGAAATTAACCTTTCCCTGTATCACTCATGCCAGCTTCTCCAATCTTATGTTGTGCAAACAGTGCGTTAAATAAGCAGCTATTCCATTCCATTCAGAACACCTGTAAGCCATAATGCCTTCTTCTTTCTTTTATGATCCTCTGCAGGACAACAGTCACCGTGCATTGCCTGTCAATTCTGCAACAGTTTCTTTTATTGCAACGTTGTTCATTTAATACTTGTATTGCTATTTTCTTTTTTAACTTGTAAATGGCCCAGACTGTGTACAATTTCAACACATATTATATGTTCTTTTTCTTTTTTTGTTCCATCACACTCTCATTTTTCTGTGTTGTGTAAACTGTGCCAGCTTTAGTAGTTCTCTCATTGCATTTTAAGAGTGTCTTGAGAAGTGCTTTGTGTTAAGAAAAACGCAGCTTAAGTGCAGTTCTATAATCTGGAAGATTCAGAGCTTATTTGAGCTAGCAAGGTAGGCACAGCACAAGCAAGGTAGCACTGCATACTGCCTTGTTGCCTGCAGCTTCTGGCTGTCCCCATCGCAATGACAAAGGCAATGTATCGTGCTTGTCAAGGAAAGACAGCTTGACAGGAAATGTAAACACAAAGGGAGGCATATTTGAATACGCTTGAGGTATCCCTTGGGGAAATTTCGCACATTTATTCTAGGACATTGATCAAGAATGGCTACTTTCCAAGCAGACGAAAGTGCCCAGAGATCATTTCATGCCAAATAAACCAAGATTCTTTGGGCCATCAAGAATAGAGTTCAGAAAATTTATTCTATTATAATTTTTTTTACTTCAGGGATCCTAAAGCACCCATAGTTCAAAATTTGTTTGCAGTGTTGCTGTTGAGCATGGGTCTTCAACAAACATGTTGCCATAAGTTCTTGGCACCACAGTATCAGAGTTCTGCATTTAATGACCCAGAAGCGGCACTCAATCGCTTTGTTCTACCTTCGCTATGCTCTGTTGTCAGCTTATCTCACCTCCTTGCCAAGTGTCCCTCCTCACCACGAAAGGAGAAAGAGTGGTGTGTGCGTACCTGCAATCAGACAAACAGGTTCTTTTAGTTGCTTACATCACCAGACGCAAGCGTGGGTATCACAGCCAATGCTGGGGACACTGAAAGGCCCAAAGAGAAGAACAGATTGTATTTAGTTTCTTTTATTTATTTATTTATTTATATATTTATTTATTTATTTATTTATTTATTTATTTATTTGTGGTGTGCCCATAGCTCATAGCACTGCCGTATTTGGCATTGTCGATTGTTGATCATGAAGAAATTTTGAACTCAATACGCATTCACTTGAAATTTTAAAAAGTTATCGAACCTAGTTTAAGGCTCCTTAAGCTAGAAACACGGTTTGCTTGAAAATATACTACAACTCATCACTTGTATAAGTAATGCTTGCTTATTTCACTGACCTGTTTGCTTGCGCCGATAACAGGTGTGGGCAGCAGCGGCCGGGGTCAGTACGACGACATCGACCAGACCACTACCCAGAGCGTACCGAAGACCGGAATAGACACTGGTAGCCCCAGCCACGGATGGGCTGCGGCTACCTCTGGAGGCGATGGGCTGCCGCCTTACTCGCAGCCATAGTCACTCAATCATAGCCCCTCCCCACTACCCCCCTCTCCACTCATTTTGTTGGAACAGTGCTGTCTTTAGTGGCCAGAACTAACATGACCGTGACCGCACATTCATTATTGAGATTTGCCATCGAGATTTCTTGTTTCTCTCTCTGTTTTTTTTTTCCCGATTCAGCTTTCTTAGAATACCATTCATCAGTTCTGAATGCTTTAAGAAAGCCCATGGTAATGAGTTATGAGCTCATGAGGCCTGTGTTGGGACATATTTTAAGTCTTCTATGGTGTTAGATCTATTTACTTCATTCCCTGACACCATTATGCTGACGAGCAGTTTCCACTTGCTGATCGACATGGTAACAAAAATTTGTTGAGACTTTACAAATCTGTGATGTCTTTGTTCCTACAAATGACAGCATATGTAGGCAGAGCTTGTACATCGCTTCAATGTTTGCTCTTCAATCGAAACTTTATTCCACTGGAAGGCGTGTGGCCAAAAGTGCTGATTCATGCTGGTAGTGGTGTTCGGTGACAGAAATTTAGTCGCCCTACCTCATGTAATTCCTGTATGTTGATAGGTTATTTTTGCCATGCTAGTTAATGTGGCCAGCTTTACAATGCCTTTTTTCACACGTCCTAATAGAATAGATCGATTTTCAATATTTTTCTTTCATTTTCTTCCTGACCACAAAAAAATTGAAGTGCAGCATTTAAAGTAGCATTTGCTGACGCAGTTTATTATGCCTTTTTTTTCTCTCATTCATGCATAGGTTACTAGTCTTTGGCCATTGAAGACAGCGTGCCACTGTTTCTCTTGCAAATGAGGGGTTTATTGCTGAAATGTGTACTTTAAATTGAGCAATTAATCATTTTTTTCTGCATTACTCTACATATTTTGATGCAAAAAATGCAGATGCTTCGGGAGAGAGCCTATAATACCTTCCATGTAGGCTTTTGGAGTCTGTTTCGCTCCCGGCTTTTATAATATTCTTGATTTATACAGATGTGTGTATAAATGAAACAACCCCCCCTTATTTCCAAAGGCACCAGTTGGACCCCTGGAATCCAGGATTATGCTAGTTATCGCAAACGTTCCCAATTTTTTCGCATTGAGGTGCTCATTCATTTGTCACGGCTCATGTGGAAGAAAAAAAAAAAGATTTATAATAGTTTCACCCTTTCATCGATTCTGCAGCTTACTGTTGTTTCTAGATGCCTTATTTTTAGTGTGCTTTCTTTTTCTAGTCATTGTTGGGAATGCCACCGTATACTTCGTGCACAGGCTGGCTTAACCCTTGCAGCCAATACTAAGCCGTACTTGTTAATTTTTTTTTTGCATGTGTGATTGAAAAGTTTGAGAAATAGGGGACCCACAGTCACGAAATGCTGTCAGGCACAGCATAAACATCGTGTTTTGTGGCAGTGTGCTACTGATGGCTGCATCAGTACATGCACTTACGGTCACGTTAGTTTGTGAAAGCCACTTGAATCGTCCTGTAAATCTAGAGCTTTCTATGAATTCCAACTTGAAGCTGTAATAAGATATTGCTATGCTTGCCTCCGAGTGTTGTTTTTAAAAATGGTGCGAAACTCTTGGCCGGTAATTCTTTTTTTTTTTTTAATAAAGATCCTGGATCTCATAACGGTAGAATGAAAAATGCTCTGAGCCTTAAAATACCTTAAGTTTTGATTTTGATGTGTGGGTTTTAACGTCCAAAAACCACCATATAATTATGAGCGCCGCCGTAGTGACGGGCTCCAGAAATTTTGACCTTAAGTTATTTATATTGTAGCATTCTTCCTGCAAACCAGTTTCACTTGCTAAGAGGCATGTGGCATACGGGAACAGAATGTTGTGATGTTTTGGCAGTAGATTATTAGCAAAGCGGGAGCCAGCGCTTTCCATCTTGTCCGATACGGTCCAAGCTAATGGTGCAAGATACATACTGATTAGCCGAAGACATTAGCTGAAGTCTGCAGCAGGGGGTGATGAGAAGAGATGTACCGGAGCAGTGGTAACACATCTTAGTGCCAAAGGAAATGCCGAAACATAACAGCACACTCTAGCCACATCACCACCTTCTGTTTCGTAAGACGAGCCACTTTTCTTAAATGTAACTGAAGGTTTTTTGTCGCAAGATACTGTGGTAAATCACTTGGGGCATTCTGACGCTTGCCAGTACTTGTAGTTTTGAAGTCGCAGATCCTTATTTAACTTGAGAAACTTGAAAACTTCACGTCGGCGTTCCTTTTTAAAAACGAGCAGGTTTGCTGTGTGCGACCTGAATGCTTTGTGATTACGCAGTCTTTTCAGAGCAGCTATGCATGGTTCAGTGTCATAGTGCCCTAGAAGCATTGTTGAATGGTTCCTTATTTTATACATGCCGTATTTTCTAGTTTTTAGTGTCTTCTGCTGGGAACTTTTCATCATTTTTTCACGTGAATAGTTTGTCACCGAATTACCGAGCACCCATTGTATTTCGAGCACTCCAATTGCCTAGTGATGGTACTTTTACACCATTCCTACTGCATTCCGGTTCTTGACACTTGTGAAACTTGCTTGAAACCGAGGTACTTATTTTTATATGTTCGTGTTTGTACACATTCCCGAGATTCTTTTAAAACACTTGTTTCATGCAGCTGCTCCGTAGAGAGCTTTTATGCTTTACTGAAGCTAAAAACATTTTTTAATTTTTTTTTTTTGCTTAGAAGCGTGGTGGTTTGGGCTAGTTGGTAGGACATGACGATCGTTTTAGCGCGAGCTCAGAACGACAACAAAGGAACAAGAAGACGAGCACTAACGTTCAACTGAGTTTATTGTGCAGAGTGTGAAAACTTCAGGACTGGCATGCAACTAGTTATAATCGTCTTAGTTTTCTGTATGTTTTCCTTAGATTTCTTTCTTGGTTTTTGTTATAGGGATATTCTCATTCACTATAGTTTTTGCCTTTTTTCCTTTACTCTTCTTTGTATTGCTCATTTTTGTCACGTGGTTTACTGTCTCGTTTATATGTTTTTGCGCTCTCACAATAAACTCTGTTGGAAGTTAGCACTCATCTTCTTGTTCTTTTATCGTCATTCTGAGCTCGCACTATAACAATAGTCTTTTCTTTGCTGTATCAGTTGGCTTGTTCAAATCAAAGACAAAGCTTGCAGTTGGAAGCTGTTTCAAATGTTTAGCTGTTCTTTGGTTCAAAGCACTGCACCTAATACCTGAAATAAATCAGTTTTTAAAGTTTTATAGACGTATTTACATATGTGAGTGTGTGCTCCAGGCTAGTTGTCTGGATGATATTGCAGTAAATCTTTTTTTCTTTTTTTCAGCACATATATCTTGTACAGTCACATTGAAAAAGGTATCCAGGGAAATGACGAGATTCTTTTTTTTTTTTGTAATTTAGTATTTTCTTACTTTTTCCTCTTGTCACTTTTGCACTTTTGAACTGTTCACAATGTGATGTCATCATTTCTTATTTTCTCTGCCCCTACTATGGACATCTATTTTTTGTTCCAAGTGATTCTGTCACTCTGAGCCCAATTACTTTTCTGTTGATTGTTTAATTAACATAATATCAACCCACTGCACAGCTTCGAGGGTTATTTGTCTGCGGATATTTCGTGTGTGAAAATGGGTTTATTGGAATGCAAAATTTTTAGCTACTATGTATGTGCATTCATTGAATGGCTCCAAGAAGTAGTGCTTGACTAATTTGTTTTCACTGTGAGCATTTATCTAAGTCTGTGGAAGTTATTCTGAGTGTTATAAGAATTCTCTTTCAGAACTGTTGCTCTGTGTGATAGCAAATTATCATATATGATATCCTACACGAAGCTTGAAACTAAGACGCTAAGCATGTGAAACATAGATAAAGCCATTGGTATTGTTTTTTTTTTTTTTTGGCTTAATTAAGTGAAGTTTATTTTGTGTACATTTTAAGATTCCTTCAAATGAATTAAACACTGTACACTGAATGGATTTTGCTTCTAACACTGTTTATATTTTGTACAGTGTACTCACCATGAGTGGAAAATAAAGAGGAAAAGTTTGTTCAAGTTTTCATCAAAGCAGCGCTATGCTTACGGGTTTACATTTTATTTACTTGTCACTGCTATGATCTGTTCAGGAGCATGAGTAATATTTTTGGTACTGCTTACATTTTCAACTCTATGGAACATTCAGTTTTCACTTCTCAAGCTTTTGCATTTTATGACAGTGCAATTGTCGTAGTTATTATTGATTGCTTTCTTTAACCAGGCCAACTCAGGTTTGTAAATACAAAATGTGATTGTACGACCCTTGGCTCACGATTTCCTCTCTCATTTTCTCACTTGGATCGCAGTGTCTCGGAATTCACATCACTGCATGAAGCCTTTCTGTTTCAACTTAATCTTCCTCAGTTGATTTCAGAATGTGTGGAAGCAAGTGGTTCACACTAAAGTGTAAAGAATGTGATCTCCAGCACTGCAATAAGTTGGAGAGTAGCAACCTTTTGAAATCCTTCATAGTCAGAAGTTTATGTTGTTAAGGCCAAGTGTTCACTGTGGGTAGCCAGCATTACATGACAAAGGTATGTCATGGCAAGCACGCGTACCTACCACTTCAGAGCAGCTTTTATCTCTGCAACTAAAGTAAAACATCTGCTTGCTACAGCTTTGAACATGTGTGTTTGTCTTTCTCACTACCCAAATTTTGCTGTTTTTTTTTTGTTTTCTTTTTTTACCTTAAGTGCTGCTGTTCAGTTGTGTGGTTATCATATTGAGGGCATTATACTAGACAAGCACATCGACTTTTGTGTCTCATTTGCCTGTAATACATGTGTTGTGGGGAGAAGTATAGTTGCACCCTGCCTACGAAGTGCAGGCGATTTCTGCTGAAGCAACTATTTGTTATGGCACATATTTAGTCGGAATTTTGGGATATGTACTCGCTTACATTTGCGTAAAGCCGAGAATTGCCCAATAAACCTTTTATTCTCCTATGGAATGATCTCTAGTTTTTTCACTGCTTAGAGGGGTGGCAAGACCAAATTTTCTGGCTCTAATAAAAAGCCTGTTGTAGGATTCTTCTGCATGTAAGAACACCTAGCACAAAATGTTTGGTGCGGAACACTTTTCAAATATGTTCTACTTCATTTCTAAGGTGTGCTTCAAGTGCTCATTCTTGGATAGAGACCCATTGCTAGCACGAATGAGAGCAACATCACTGCGTAAGAAACATAATAAAAATTTTAGTGACGTCGGCCGCATTAGAGTGAAATGCAATAAGCGGTGCCACATCACCCCTGCACCAAAAAAGCCAGGCGAGCATTGGCTGCGAACCCACACACTCATTTCTGTGATCATGTTGCGAAACTAGCCAAGCTTGCTGGCTCTTTGCAAAGTGCTGCACAGCATCATGCAAATTTGCAAAGACAACATTGCAGAATGTTTGTTCCCACACAGCTTTGCATTAGCATACAGGGTTACCGTAGTCGTAAACTAGAGAGGCTGGATACGTGGAGCCACGTAGCATCGCGATGACGAACCAGGCAGGCATTGTATTACTGTGGACACCCAACGTGTTCTACTTTTCTGCTGAAGTAAATTGTTGGCAACCGCAGTAGTTTCAAATGTGTTGCCTTTTCAAACATTTTTTTTTTTTTGCAATGGTCACTCGGCAAAATCGACACACACCTATAATAGTATTTGCACGAAGTGTCACTAGATGGCAATACCACCATCCAGTGACTCGGTATTCCAAAACACTTCTGCTTATTCCAGGATATCGTAAATGCTAATATTCTCTATTAGACATTCCAGCGATGTTGAAGACATCTAGACGGTTTTTTTTTTTTTTTGCACATGTGCATGAGAGCAGACGATGCAGCATTGCGTGCGTCACTGTTTTTAAAAGGTGGGCAGAGAGTTGGACTCTGATGACCCTACACAGGGTCCTCAGTGTCCAACTCTGTGCCCGTAAACAAACTGTTATTTCATGTACGCCAGTTTGCAACAGCACTTTAGTATTTGTTCTAGCTGTTTCACTGTATTTATGTTTCAATCTTTGAATTCCAATATGTCTGCTGCATTTTTCAAACCCTGGTTTTTCTATAATAATTACCATGCTATCACTGATTCTCTTGTCCTCCCTCCTTTCTGATGCCCTGGGAGGGATCTAAGGATCAATAAATGATGATGACATTGAAAGTTATTCACATGAACATGGCAGTAATAAATTATTCAGCATGCAGTGCACTAATATTATAGTGCGTATCTTGCTTCCTGGAGCAATGAGATATGTTTGAAATGAAGAACACACAAGCCACAAATTTTATGTCGCTGCCCCTGATGACACTGATGACACTACTCATACCCATATTTCAAATGATTTATAAAGGGACACTAATGTCAACTATTAAGCCGACGTTGATTGTTGAAATGGCGGTCCAGGAACTTCATAGTGTTACTTTAATGCGAAAGAAGGGCATATTTTGAAATGAAATCACGTTTTAGTGGTCCGCATCGGGTTAGCGCGCTTCAAGTTACCCGCCTCAAGAAGCGGACCGACCGGTCCACTCACGTCACTGTTGCCGTGCACAACGTTGCCCGGCTTTACTGCGCTAGTAGCAGCATACCGTAAGCAGTGGGAGCCACAGCAGCAAAAATGGTCATTGATCGATTTCCCTCTATTGGCTCCGAGATCGCAGACGCTTTTGTTTCAACTGCACCCCGCTAAATGGCACCACCTGTCCCGTGTAACCACGCGAAAATTAAATTTTTGAACCACTCGCGCCATTCCCCATAGTAAGGTCCGGTGGTTCTTTTTTCCATGAATCAAACAAACGAACAAGCAGCATTTTATAGCGTCTCTTGATGCACGAAGAGTTCTTTATTTAGTGCAGTTAGATCAATTATAGTGATTAATTGTAGGCGGTCCGTCTGATGTCATCGGGATCATTCTGAAAATGTCCTACTGCAGCACTTGTGTTATTGTGCATTCACCTTAATTTCTCTGTAAGTAGGGCACTGTTGTTGATAATATTGTCGTTTTAAGTGTTGTCATACATTGAGCTTTGACTCTGATGTAAATTGTTATTTGACTTTAGTGTCCCTTTAAGATTGTCAATGAATTGGTTAAATTGATAAAATTGTACTGGATATTGCATAATTAGCTTAGTTTCTTTTTGCTTTAACAGCTGTGACATAAAAGCTTATGGGGTCTTTTACTGAGCTAGTGCGAATAGCGATGAGAAATGTTAAAAACAAAGAACACACAAGCGACAAATTTGATGTCACTGCCCCTTTAAGTTCAGACACTGCTCATACCCATATTTCAAGTGATTTAATCAATGAATCGGTTAAATTGATAAAATTGTGCTGGATATTGCATAATTAGGTTAGTTTCTTTTTGCTTTAACAGCAGTAACAATAAAAGCTCATAGGGTCTTTTACTGAGCTTGTGCGAATAGTGAATTTTGGTAGAATAATTTGAAGTGTAATTTGAATGTATATATCACATATTATGAAGGAGAATGGGCATATTTGTCATTATCCAACTAGCCTAGCTGCAAAATTATATTTTAGAGGTGAAAACAAGTGCTGTGCTAATGCTATTCTTATTGGCTCAAAGAAAGGGCTTTGTGGCAAGGCTTTCTTTTGAGTAGGTGTTTTCATGGCTCAGCGCACCTTTGTTGCAGTGTAAGCACCTTAAAAATTACATGCCAATTGTACTTTGAAAAATTGGCTGATTCCACGTACAGTGGGAATCGATGATATGCTAAGCACGAGTGAGGAAAGTTGATATGTCACTTTAAAATCACCACAACGCATACGAGGTGGAGGTAAATTATGCCGTACACGACATCCGTGTCATCATTATCATGTTTGGATGTGTCGTTTACCTTCGTCATCTATTCACGTCACGTGATGCCAAATTTAGTATATGTGAAGCTATAGCGAAACGGCCTCGAGCACGCTATGAACATGGTATGTTGTCATGTTCTTGCACGACACAAGTCATGATTATCATGTTTGCAACAGTGATATACCTTCATCATCGATGGACGTCACGTAACACCAAATTTTGGTATATGTGGAGCAAGCGAAACGGCCGCGAGCGCATCATGAGTGTGGCATGTGGTCATGTTGTTACATGACACGCATGTCGTAATTATCATGTTTGGATGTCTTATTGACCTATGTCAGCCGTTCGCGTCACGTAATACCGAATTTGGTACATGTGAAGCTAGCGAAACGGCCATGGGCGCATGATGAGCGTAGCATGTAGTCATGTTACATGACACGCATCTCATGTTTATTATGTTTGCACCAGTGTCACGGGTCCCGTTAATTAGGGAGGCGATCACCGGGCTAATTCCAAGGGCCGAAGTATCGGCCCCCAAAACCGCACCACGAAAGCGTGGACAATTTAGAGGCGGTCCTATTTGGCACGCCAGCGGACGCCGGCTGTGGCCCAAAGAACAAGTCAGAGCCGAAAGTTGATAAACAAAACAAAATTATATTCTCAATAATGGCAGATCAAAAACAATACACAAGTATGCACACTCCACAATAGTTGAGTACAATATGTCACCAATCAAACAACGTACTACACAGTACAATCAGCCACACTCAAAACAACGGACACAGACAACAATACACACTACAATGCAGTCGCATGCATTGAACAACCAAGACACTTAAAGACTAAAGAGATAGAAAACCTATTCAGTCCAAAGCTCTTGGAACAAAAGTCTGGATGATACTCTTCCGAGAATCACTCACTCAAAGTCCAGCGTTGCTGTCGTTCCGCTGCCCCCGAAGTTTCTCTTCCAGGAAACCTTGCGTCTTCACTTGGCCACTCTCCAAGCTTCAACCTTCTTCGCTGGAAACACGTCGGCTTCACACACGCAGCTGTTGCCACGCGTCTTCGCTCGATAGCGGTAGACACACGCTCTTGCCTGTAGCTCGAGCCTTCACCCCCCAGGTGGAAATCCTCTTCTTCTCCTGCTTTGTCACTACGGACAAAACCTTCGCCGACTACACGGCGGAATACGCTACGCGCTCTGGCGCTAACTTCCGTCTTCTCCTGATCTCCCATCTCGGCTGCTCGATTAAATACCTTCCGCGCGAGATTCCACGGTTGTAAAATGTTTCAAATGTGGTCAGACTGGGCACAAGGCAGATGCATGTCGTAACGGAGCGAGTCAAACTCACCAGGTATCCTGTGCACAAGTGGCACCAAAAACCGTTGATGACGTCACCGATGGATTCGTAGAGTTGAAAAATGGGGAGAAAATCCCTATTGTGGGTGCTGTAATGACAAAACAGCAAACAGGTGCTATGAAGGGAATGCCCGTGATGGCTGGAAAAGTGGCGGGAAGGCGTGTAGACGTTTTAAGAGACACAGGGTGCTCCACTGTAATAGTACGAAGAGACCTAGTCCGCGACAACGAACTGACGGGCTAGACCAGCCTGATTTACACCGTCGACCGTTCGGTCATGAGGCTGCCTGAGGCCAAGGTCAAGATCGAGACGCCCTTCTACAGTGGAACTGTTTCTGCCGTCTGCATGGATGATCCATTGTATGACGTAATCGTGGGGAACATTGAGGGCGCCCGTTCGCCGGACCAACCCGAACCACTGGAAGAGAAACTTCGGGGGCAGCGGAACGGGAGGTTTCCTTGAAGAGAAACTTCGGGGGCAGCGGAACGACAACAACGCTGGACTTTGAGTGAGTGATTCTCGGAAGAGTATCATTCAGACGTTTGTTCCAAGAACTTTGGACTGAATAAGTTTTCTAACTCTTTAGTCTTTAAGTGTCTTGGTTGTTCAATGCATGCGACTGCATTGTAGTGCGTATTGTTGTCTGTGCCCGTTGTTTCCAGTGTGGCTGATTGTACTGTGTAGTACGTTGTTTGATTGGTTACATATTGTACTCAACTATTGTGGAGTGTGCATACTTGTGTATTGTTTTTGATCTGTCATTATTGAGAATATAATTTT